ATTCTGTTGCCCAGGAACCCAAACTGTGATACAGAGAACTGCCTGAAGATCGTTTATACACCATTGTTCATCACTGTGTTATTTTAGCCATAAACATTTTTGAAAAATGACTTCATTGTTGAATCAGATATTAAGTATTATTCATAAAATAGTATTGATGGCTGCATAATCTATCTTACAGATTTCGATTATGTTTCTAAATAAAATTAAAAGAAAAAGAGCATAAATATTAACATTTAAATTATATGTAAGGCAGAAAAGAGAGAGAAAAAGTCATATTCCTGAGTGTTAATATAAATCATACTTGGTGAATCAGATAGGAAAAGTTTTTCTTAGCGCTTTCTCTTGTTTCCCAACTTTTCCACATTAAGCATGCATACTTTTTTTTTTTTTTTTTTTTGGAATAGAGTCTTGCTCTGTCACCCAGGTTAGAGTGTAGTGGCACGATCTTGGCTCACTGCAACTTCTGCCTCCCAGGTTCAAGTGATTCTCCTCCCTCAGCCTCCCAAGTAGCTGGGATTAGAGGCACCTGCCACCATTCCTTGCTAATTTTTGTATTTTTAGTACAGATGCAGTTTCACCACCTTGGCTAGGGTGGTCTCGAACTCCTGACCTTGTCATCCACCCACCTCAGCCTCACAAAGTGCTGGGATTACAGGCATGAACCATGGTGGCTGGCCAAGCATACATCTTTTTACAGAAGATAATTAAATATTTTATATTTGTAATTTGTCCATATTTTAAAATAACTTTGTCAAACTATTTAAAGTAACAAATAGTTTTCACTTTGTGTGAGGTGGGAGCAACATAAATGACTTAGTCATTTAATATTGAGATGTCAGATATATCCTAAGAATATGGACTTTAATGTGAGGTAAGGGAGATAAAGAGTGTAATGCTCACAAGAAGTTGCGTTTACAATAAATTATATACCATAATTTTCATGCTTAGAAATTTTTTGAAATTTATTATACTTTAAGTTCTAGGGTACATGTACAGAACGTGCAAGTTTGTTACATAGGTGTAGACATGTCATGGTGGTTTGTTGCATCCATCGTCCTGTCATCTACATTAGGTATTTCTCCTAATGCTATCCAACCCTAATCCCTTCACCACTGTTATCCCTCCCCTAGCCCCCACCCCCGACAGGCCCCAGTGTGTGATGTACCCCTCCCTGTGTCCATGTGTTCTCATTGTTCAACACCCACTTGTGAGTGAGAACATGCGGTGTTTGGTTTTCTGTTCTTGTGTTAATTTGCTGAGAATGATGGTTTCCAGCTTCATCCATGTCCCTGCAAAGGACATGAACTCATCCTTTTTATGGCTGCATAGTATTCCACAGTGTATATGTGCTATATTTTCTTTATCCAGTCTACAATATTATTTGTTTAGCATACTATTAACAGTATTAGTGATATTGTATTAGTGTTGGGCACCAAGGCCTAGTTGCTAAAAAGTGTCTAACATTGTCAAGGGAAGGCCTTTTTCTGGAAGCAGCAAAAGAGACAAGGTGAATTCAAGGGCAGATGTGCCAATGTGGCTACAGATTTTGTTAGAGGTGCTTTCTCTGGAGTTGGAATCTTCCCTGACAAGGTGGATCTCAGTATCTCCAACAGAGCTGTGCCACTCCTGGCTTGGCCCTGATAGACCAATTTGGATAGAAAACAAATTTGAACAGAAAAGAATATGCAAGACTTGCTTATCACCCCAGCCATTTCCATATTACATCCAGATGCTAGTGTTTGCAAATTATTTAACTTAATCTCAAGAGATAGATTATATGGACAAAGACATACAATGAGAGGATATTAAAAGCCTGATATTAATGACATTGGATGCACCAACTGAAAAATAGCAATGTAACACTTCTGAAATAATGGTATCTTTGAAAGATGGGGAACATACTAGTCAGGTGACTGAGAAAGGATGTATTTCTCTGAGAAGCAGTAATAAAGTTTACATGTATTTTGCTTTGTTAGTTTAATTTTTAAAATGAGATCTGGAAATGGAAGTTAAAAACAGTGAATTGGTTAGCCTTTATAAAATTACACTGATTCAAAAGTGGGCAAAGGATATGAACAGACACTTTACAAAAGAAGACATACATGAGGCCAACAAACATATGAAAAAATGCTCATCATCACTGGTCATCAGAGAAATGCAAATCAAAACTACATCGAGATACCATCTCATGCCAGTTAGAATGGCGATCATTAAAAAAATCTAGAGACAACAGATGCTGGAGAGGATGTGGAGAAATAGGAACACTTTTACACTGTTAGTGGGAGTGTACATTAGTTCAACCATTGTGGAAGACAGTGTGGCGATTCCTCAAGGACCTAGAAATAGAAATTCCATTTGACCCAGCAATCCCATTACTGGGTATATATCCAAAGGATTACAAATCGTTCTACTATAAGGACACGTGCACACGAATGTTCATTGCAGCACTGTTTACAATAGCAAAGACCTGGAACCAACCCAAATGCCCATCGACGATAGACTGGACAGGGAAAATGTGGCACATATACACCATGGAATACTATGCAGCCATCCAAAACGATGAGTTTCGGTCCTTTGTAGGGACATGGATGAACCTGGAAACCATCATTCTCAGCAAACTAACAGAAGAGCAGAAGATCAAACACCGCATGTTCTCACTCATAGGCGGGTGTTGAACAATGAGAACACATGGACACAGGGAGGGGAGCACTAGGCACTGGGGTCAGTTGGGGGGAAATAGGGGAGGGATGGTGGGGGGTGGGGAGCAGGGGAGAGATAGCAAGGGGAGAGATGCCAGATGTAGGTGATGGGGAGGAAGGCAGCAAATCACACTGCCACGTGTGTACCTATGCAACAATCTTGCATGTTCTTCACATGTACCCCAAAACCTAAAATGCAATAAAATAAATAAATAGGGAAAAAAAAGAATTGATATAATTGCAAAAAAAAAAAAAATTACAAAAATTACACTGATAGGAAAGAAGAAAATGTTATTAAGCAAACAGGAGAAACAACTATAAAATACTTTAAAATGAGTAAAGAGGAAGACTGCTGGTACAGAACAAAAAAATCAGTAATTTGGAAGATAAACTTAAGGAATTACCCAAAAATACCAAGGAAATACATGAAAGTGAGAAAGAATATGATGAATGAGAATACTGCCTATCAGATTTCAAGCCAATAGTCCGTGCCTGTAAAGAAGAGAGAACAAAATTAGTCAGGCATGGTGGTGTGTGCCTGTAATTCCAGCTACTTGGGAGGCAGAGACAGGAAAATTGCCTGAACCTGGGAGGTGGAGATTGCAGTAAGCTGAGATAGTGCCGCTGGACTCTAGCGTGGGCAACAGAGAGAGACTATCTCAAAAAAAAAAAAAAAAAAAAAAAAAGTAAGAGGGGAAAAAAAAAAGAAAAAATAAAAAAAAAAAAAAAAAAAAAAAAAAGAGAGAGAGAGAGAATGAATGGAAGAGACTATAGACACAGAGAAAGAAAGGAAGAAAAGTTTTGCAATGATGAAAGTCTGTTAAATACAATTGTTAATTTTGCCTAAACCTATCTGGAGCATTTGAAACATACAGTTTGGCTCTGTGTCCAATTCCCCAAATCTCATTTTGTAATCCCTACAATCCCCACATGTTGAGGGAGGGACCTGGTGGGAGGTGATTGGGGACAGCTTCCCCCATGCTGTTGTCATGACAGATCTGATGGTTTTGTAAGTGTTTGACAGTTCCTTCTTCACACACACTCTCTTGCCATCCACCATGTAAGATGTTCCGGCTTCCTCTTTTGCCATGATTTTAAGTTTCCTGAGGCCTCCCCAGCCACATGGAACTCTGAGTCAGTTAAATCTCCTTTCTTTATAAATTACCCAGTTTCAGGTGGTATTCTTTATAGTAGTGTGAAAATGGACTAATACAAAATGTTTGTTCTCTACTTCTTTGTATCAGCTGTCTATTGCTGCATAACAAATATCTCTAAACCATAGCAACTTAAAACACATATTAATTATAATACAGTTTCTGTAGGTGTAAAATCTGGACAAAATTTAGCTGTATCCTCTACTTCAGGGTGTCTCACAAGGCTGCAGTCAAGATTCAACTGGGAAATAATCTACTTCCAAGCTTATTCATTAGTTGTTGGCAGATGTCAATTCCTTGAGGGTTGTTGAACTCAGGGGACCCCTCCTCTTACTGGCTGCTAGCAAGAGGCCACCTTCAATTTTTCACCACATAGTAGTCATTACTTCCAATGTGAATAATAAAATATTAATAATCCTCTCCATATTCTCAGTTTGCAACCAACTAAAATTTGCTTTCTTTTTCATGCATACTTGATTATTTTATAAAAAGCTAAAAGTATTCCCAAAGCCCAAATAAAAGCAGTGATTTGGTGAGGTGTAATAAGTATCTAGATAACACTGTGTTATCTCAGAGAAACAGGATAAGAACATAATTTAACCTAATAATTTCACTGTTTTAAAAAAGCAGAGAAGGCAAAAATAACTAATGATTAAAAAAGCAGGCTTTGTGGCATATCTGAGGTGGTTAAATGTCAAATAGGTGAAATTCTCATAAAGTTAGAAAGTTGCAGATGCAAGTGTGGAAACAGTATTGTGAAACCAAAGTCTGTTCTAATCCCCTCTGCAGTTCAGCTCAAAGGGAAAGTTTGTAGGACTTGTATTCAAAGTCCTATGATAAAATAATGGTTTCTCTGTCATTGTATTGCAGTTATTTCCTCTTCATATAAGAATTATGATGTGCCTGCATCAGGGACCTACTGACATCATTCAGGAACTCACAGGAGTGTTCATATGCCACTGCCTGAGAGTGTATGGTTAATTTTTGCTTAGGTTGTGGTACTTGGCTAGTTGAAGAATCATAGGTTTCAGATTTTCATTCCATCAGTATAAAAACTGATGAGGTGAATCTGTTACTGGGGACAGGTATTAAAATTAAAAAAGCAAGCAAAAAGTTTTCGTGAACTGGTCACAAGTACATAATAGCTTTCCAGGAAATAGGGATTTATTTCTTTTTCAGGAGAGGGTCTTCCAAAACCTCACAGGGCAGTTAAAACTATACATTTTAAGTTGTTCTTGTGCAAAAGCCACATGGAAAGAAAGGCTCTAGCCTTGACAGTGATTTGAACAGTGGACTCTGGATTTCCTGAGGATTGAGCTTCACCTTTGAGGCCAGAGTGAGCTCATCTAGAACCTCAGACTGCAAGGGTAAATAAACCATAAAGTTCCTAATGAAGAGACAGGCCTGTGGGGACCAGTTAAGTGATGGAAATGGGTGAAGCAGACACATCCAAGAAAAACTGTACATGTGATGTTAAACTAAAGCATGGTCCTTGATTACAGAAACAGCTACTTTACTAGGTAAGATGTTCTCTGTTTAAAGGGACTGAAAATTTAACTCAAAATGGCTTAAACAACAAGGAAAATTAATGGATCATATAACCAGGAGTACTAAGAAAGTGTGAGGTAACTCCAGCAGTCATTAATCTACCAGATCAATGACATCATTGAAAGGTCAGGTTTTATTCTTTTCATCTTTCTGCTGTATCTTCTTCAGCCTTCATAATCGCAGTGTGGAGTGCAGCAGTACCAGATAGAGTATTCAGAAGCCCATATCCAGAAAAAGGGATGAGGAAAAATTTTCCAGCAATGTTTTGACATAACTCCTTTCTCATCTTACTGGGAAAAAAGGGGGAGGATTATAAAATCATCTCCAAGACAACCACTAGTATGGGAAAATGAGGTCATCATAATTGACTTAAATGGATAGGGTTTTAACCAGGAGATGGTTAGGAGGTTCGTTCCTATAAGTGAGCAGGTGAACAAAATTAGGGTTCTAAAAGCCAGGAAGAAGGGGGTTATTTTGCTGGCAAGCCATAGTGTTTGCTACATTACCCATCAACTAAGCTGATGGTTGATATAGGCAACGTGATTCTATTGTTGAAAAAGAGTCGGATTACTTTGTGATTACATCTGACAAAGCTGGGAATCTGGATGTTTATGCAAGATCTCTCAATTTGTAAATATTAGCAATACATTCAAAACATTTAAAAGTACTATGTGTCCAGTATCATTCAGACCAAATAAAATACATTTGCAGTCCAAACATGCCCTGCAGCTTACCAGTTTGAAACCTCTGGTTTATTTTATGAATTTAACTAAAATTTTCTAAATTTAGAAAGTGAACACCACTTTAACCATGCCAGTAATTACACAAATATATATGATAAAACATTTTTTTAATTCATAGTGGTACTCAAGTGTAAAAAACTACAAATGATATAGCCAACAATGATTTCAGGAGCTAATGTAAGAAAGAAATGCACAACACACAATGTTTACATCATTTTCTTAACTGAGATTCTAATTTGACAAGTTAATGGTTAAAATGATCAGGATGTTGCTACTCATTTAATAATGGATGTACAATTTTTCTCTTATTCCTCCAAGATTAGTGTGATGTATTTTGTTTTGTTTTCATTAGAGAATGAATCAATTCCTATTAAAGATTTTAACTTCAGAGAGATTTCTTTGCAATCATCTTCCTTCTTGTAAGTATGGATAATTGAAATTTTAAATTCATGCAAAGGTTCTCAGGCATGTCACCCTTGAACATTTTCTTCAGTCTCTTCAAAGCATAACATGAATCAGAAAATGTTAACCTCCTTGAGTCAAGAGCAATACTATTGAGAAATAAGTATGTCTCTGTTATTCGATTTTCCAGTTTTCCAAGTTGATAATTTAGCCATGAGTTCTTGCTAGTTGTTACTTCATGCTTTTGGATTTGAGTTCTAAAAAAGACAGAACTTTTAAATGATCAGCTTCCTCCAAAAATTGAGATATTCTCTATTATGAAACTTTGAACTATGAAGAAATTATGTGAAGTCACGGTTTCTGTTTCATAGGTTATTTGAGCAAAAATGAAGAATTGGAAATGCAAGAGGATAGGAAGGGAGTGAGAAAAACACCACACTAAGATGTAAATATTTATCTGGTGATTAGCATAATATGGAGAAGGTAGGGAACCAGGAGGAGGGTTATAGAATACTGTACTTATTATTCTATGGGAGATTTCTTCTCATATTCATCCTTGGGAAATATTTCTGACAAATAATATTGGTGTCTACATAGCTTTCTAGCTGAGACCCTTCCAACTTCCCTCTTTTTAGTTATTGGCCATACTCAGAAATAAGACATTAATGTCAGCTCATCTCCAAATCATGCAGATACTATTATTTGTAAATTTCTTCTAAAAACACATGGTGGGCCTTCTCTCCTTGATAGCAGGAAATTATAATACAAGAATATAATAGTTTGTCTATACATCTCTTACCTTTGGTGTAGACATTGGACTATCCTTGAAAACAGTAGAGGGAAGTGCTTTTGTGTCTTTATGCTACATTAATTATAAAAACAATGGCATGTCATTAGAATGCTGTGCTTGTCCCATCTTAGCTATAGTTATTTCTTCATGAAATTATTCCTTACCTCTTTTTCACTCATTTAAATTCTACCCAGCTTTCAGAGTCCAGTTCAAATTCCAACTTTCAGCCAATGAATATTCATCCTACTTTAACTACTCTGAACCTGTTGACTTTCTCCTCGCCATATTTTTCTTGTTAGTGTCACTCATCTTGGGTGATAATACAAATAATAGAGGAATTAAGGGCTCCATTTTTTTTTTGAGACAGAGTTTCACTGCTGTTGCCCAGGCTGGCATGCAGTGGTGAGATCTCAGCTCACCACAACCTCCACCTCCTGGGTTCAAACAATTCTCCTGCCTCAGCCTCTCGAGTAGCAGGGATTACAGGCATGTGCCACCACACCTGGCTAATTTTGTATTTTTAGTAGAGACAGGGTTTCCCCATGTTGACCAAGCTGGTCTCGAACTCCTGACCCCAGGTGATCTGCCAGCCTCAGCCTTCTAAAGTGCTGGGATTTCAGGCATGAGCCACCATGCCCAGCCTAAGGGCTCCATTTTTACATCACTGACTTTCTCACTAAAATGTGAAAATTTTTGGAGAAAAAAAAAAAAAAAGGAACTGAAATTTAGGTATTGCTGATTTACCCACAGCAGAATACCAAGCACAGGAAACATACCCAGGAAACTTTTAATGACTGAATGTCCTGTGCTTCTTACTTCATGAGCATCTGATTTTTATTGCAGATTTGCCTCTATCTGACCTATTTTTCATACCCTACCTTCTACAGAAAACTGACTAATAATAGGTCTTATTCTATCTACAATATATATACAGTTAATTATCATGTAATAAAATTTTATCTCCTCTTAAGCATCTAGAAATGAATCTTTGAAGGAGCTATTTACCTCACCCAGCAGAGCTATTTATCGTTTCTCAATAATTATGTAACAGTAACCCTATTTTTTATAATAAAAAATCAATACCCATACTAATTTATACATAGTAAGTAGGCCTTGCTTTTTTAGATACCCCTGGGGCAAATGTGCTATGATATCTCAAGTTAACCTCAAAAGCACACATCCTGATAAATAACCCATGGATTTGGAGACAGTACTTACAATGAGCAGAAGAGATACTTAAAAATCACCAGTGACTATCTGATACTTACAAGGAAAGAAGAAGATGACATAGGTGCAAGAATCGGTGGTGGTGGAAAATCTGGCTTTGTAATTAGCTAGGAAAAGGATAAAAAATTTAAATTCAAAGACAGGGTCCTGAAAATAGGTGTGCATAAAGAAAAGGCTTAAATCATTTTCAGAAATGGGTAAGCCATGACCCTACCCATGAGAATATTGTAAATGTATGCATTCACTTGCTTTCATTTAGTTGCACACACACAGTTGAGACAGAAGTCCAATGCCAACAGATATGTGATGAAGATGATTACTGTAAACCGTATGTTTGCATCACCCCACAATTTCATATGTTGAAAACCTAATCCCCAGAATGATGGTATTTGGAGGTAGGGCCTTTTGGAAGTAATGAGGCCATGAGGGTGCAGCTCTCATAATAGGATTAATGCCCTCATGAGAAGAGGCACAAGAGAGATGTTCTCTGTTATGTGAGGATACAATGAAAAGGCAGCTGTCTACAAGGCAGAAGGCAGCCTCGCCAAACACTGACTCTGCCAGCTTCTTGAAGTTGGACTTCACAGTCTCCAGGATATGAGAACTAAACATCTGTTATTTAAGTCACCCAGTCTATGCTAATTTAGTTGCAGCAGGCTGAGCCGATGAAAACAGCAGTGGTACCCTATTAAGTAGATTGGTTCTCTTCTTGTCCTAAGTTGGCATGGAGTAACATACATGTTCACATTTTATATTCTCAAGTTTTGCCGAAGAATTTGTATTTTATATTAATATTCACATAGATTTCAATATTGTCGTGAAGAAATAATGGAGCATTGTCGACTATGACTTTCACTGATATTTCCTGGAGATTGAACTAGGGTGACATTTAAGAGAAGTTGCTAACTCACAAAAGACGCTGGGGGCTCATTGCCTTCTAATGGCAGATCATACACCTGGGACTTCATCCGACTCATCTAAAAAGAAGAATGAATGTTTCAAATGAACCATTAGTTTCATAGGCACAGTTTTTAAGTAAGCAGTCTTTTTAACGCATGGAAGCTTGGAACTAAGCTGACACCAAGAGACCAGTTAGAGTCACAGTGGTCCAGCTGGTATATGCTACGGAAGTATTTCCCAGAGCAGTAATGAAAAGTTTCCATCAGTAAATTATTGCCAGTGTTATTATCATTAACCAACTTCAGCTAAAATCTCTATATTTACAGGACATGACTAGGACATTAGGACTATACATATTATATGTATTATATAGACATACATATTTTTGTACCTACTGGGCAATTTGCAAAGAAATAACCTAGAATCAGAGAGCAAGAGGGAATGTGTGTGTGAGAGAGACAGACAGAGACAAAGACAGACAGACATCTTTCTGCCTTCTTTGTTCTCTTTATTCTGTTTGCATTTCATGCACCCCAGCAAAGTAGCCTCTGCATTTTAGGGACTCTGTTTTGCATTTAACAAAAGACAAAGGAGACTTTTCTGAATGTGTAATTGCAAAATGCTGCTGGGTAGAAATGATACGTAGGTGGTCTAAGAGTGTGAGAGAAATGCAAAATGGGGCCACGGTAATCACAGTCCAAACTATAATTCACCTCTTGGGGTTGGACAGCCTTTACCATCTGGGGTTTCCTCTTCTGTTTGTATGATCTGGTCCCAGTGGTAGATAGTGGCCTGTAATAGACAAACACATTATGTCAATTGACTTAGCAGCTCCTTCAGCATGACCGGGAAACTCTGTACAAGATTCCCATCTTCCTTTTCCCATTGTGTCCTTCTTGTCTTTTATCTGCTCCCTGGGTCATTTTTCAGCTTTTACTTCCCTGTCAGCCTCCTTCATTGTCTTGTAATTCATAATCAGTACATATAATTTTCTTTTTTTTTTCTCTATAGGACCCTGATTTCTAAAAATGATAGTGTTGAATCCAAATTTTTATCTAAATTATGTTGTTTTATTAATATCTTATTCATTAAAAATTAAAAGAAACTCATAAGTGAATAAATCAGAAAGAAAAAAAAAAAAAAAAAAAAAAAAAACAATACACTATTGTGCTAGAATCATGTTTGTAAGATCAACCCAGGCTCCTCCACTTACTCTGCATGACTGAAAGCATATTTGATAACGTCTCTGAGCCCATTTTCACTTTTGTCAAAATGTGAAGTTCATAGCCTTGCAAAATTGTGTAAGAATTAATATAAAACCCTTTTCATATGTGAAATGAAACTAATAATAACCACTTTGAAGTTCTCGAGAAAGTTTAAATGAGATAAGAAGATATAAAATGCTTAGCACAGGGTTGGTGTGGTGGCTCATGCCTGTAATCCCAGCACTTTGGGAGGCCGAGGCGGGTGGATCATTTGAGGTCAGGGGTTCGAGACCAGCTTAGCCAATATGGTGAAACTCTGTCTCTACCAAAAGTACAAAAATTAGCCACGTGTGGTGGCATATGCCTGTAATTCCAGTTACTCAGAGGGCTGAGGTAGGGGAAGTACTTGAACCCGGGAGGTGGAGGTTGCAGTGAGCTGAGATCCTGCCATTGCACTCCAGCCTGGGCCACAGAGGGAGACTCCATCTCAAAAAAAATAATAATAATAATGGTGTGGCACTGATAGCACAGTGCTTATCATATAGTGATCAATTAATTCTAGATATCCTTATAGTAAATTCAAAAATCAGTCATAACGGGAGTTAATATCACTCTTATTGTTAAATATAAATATAATGACTAACAGAAGAAAAAAACCCATTTCTTCCTGTGAAGGATATCTCAGTTAAAAGGAAATCCAGCTTCTGGTGTAAAAAGACTGTATATGCATGTATTTCTGAATATTAGAAGTAAACCAAAATTCACTTTGAAAGGGTAGGTTATGCCCTTGAATTTTAATTAAAAAAGGGGTCAGAGAGCCTCTACAGCAATATAAGATAAAAGGTCACCTCTGGTCCTTCTTCTGCTTTTCTCTGGAGCTCTGGTGCCGGATTACTATAGCAACCACCAGACAAATGACCGCCATTGGGAACAGCACCCCAACCACAATGGAGAAGTCTGCAGCAGAGAACAGAGGCCCACTGAGCACTGCAGAAACACACATCTGCCCATCACACTAGTCCTTGTTTCTTTACTTGGCACATATTCCAGCTACCCTTTTCTCTAATGAATATACATTCGCTGGAAAACCTCCCATAGCCAGTAAAATGAAAATGTATTTTGATCAGCATTATTATATTAATATTTAGATAGAAGAAATATACATAAAATCTGTAGGAAATATTTAACATGAAATAAGTTAAAAAATCATAATATTGAGAATACTTAGAAGGGATAATGTTTGTAACAACTGGAAAATGAGCTGGGAGAATAGAAGAGAATATACAGTAAGGAAGATGGCAAAGAAGAAATAAAATATTTTGAGAAGCAGTCTTGAAATAAAACAGAAAAAGAAACTAAAACTTGGAAGATATATTCTTGTCAGTAGAAAATAAGAAGCTGAGGTATGACTAAGAGAACTGATAGACAAATAATTGAGTGTTCCACTGATGTTGGTCCACAATGGAATTAATATGGACAGAAAGGAAGTTATGTGACCTCGAGAATGAGGAAATGGTTTGAACAAACATTCCTGGGGCCCCGTGGTGCTTTTTCTTTTATTGATGAATTTAAATAATGAATGCAAACACTTCAGTCTTTTGCTATCTCAAGTGTTCATTTCTCTTACAATAATCTGAAACCACAAGAAAATGGGAAGTAAAAGACTGAAGAGCAATGCCAACAGTGACCACTCTCATTACTAAAATCAGCAAACCATAGCAAGATTAATTTTAGTATTAATGCAAGAAAAGTTCACAAGTGTGAGCACACACACACATGTGGATATAGATAGGCACATCAGAAGCAGAATTCTAGATAAGACAATGACTTCAGTTCAAACATTCACTAGTATCCACATTCCAAAAAGTCCAAAAAGTCAAAGGAAAATCAAACAGTGAAGCATTCTGCTGCAGTGTAGATAGCTTCAGAATGAAAAATATAAGCTTACTTCCACTAATGTCAGAACTATAACTATTTTCAAAGAATGATATTTTAGCAAAGGAAATAAATGGGACTTGGCAGTACTTCAGAAATACCCTGAACTTGAGAAGACATAGTCTGGAGCTAAAGTTGGGACAGAGGACAGACGGAAGTACAACAAACAGTAAGGTTTGCAGGTGAAGACAGAAATCACTGAAGAGTAAGTGCAGCCTCTTCTTGTTTCTGGTAATGGTGGACTAGGAAACTAAGACCAACCCTCTGTTAAAAATAATCATTGAATTATTTGCAAACAAAAGTTTCCTAAAAATAGCACTTAAAAGTTAGATAAAATTACTTTGTAGAGATTAGTGAGTGGGCAAGAATCCAGAGAGATAGAAAAGAAAGTGATCCTACATAGAAGTTCAGAAATGCAGAAAGAAATGAAAATGAACCAATAGCAAACCTTAATGGAAACTGTGGAATTGGGGTGATAATGATGTGTTAATGTAGGTTTATGGAGTATTTACACTCAACAACTACTCCACAGGAGTGGGAGATTTTGACTGTGAGGGAACCCGTGCGGGCCAGGTATATGGCAACCCTCTGTACTTCCTGTTCAATTTTGCTGTGAACATAAAACTGCTCTACAAAAGAACGTCTATTTTAAAAAAAAAGGGAAGTTTTAGAATAATTATTAAAATAATGTAAAAGAAATGCATAATATCCAAGTTAACAAAATAATAGAATCAATAAGTCCATATGAAGGGAGAGCAAAGGAAACATAAACAGGAAAGAAAAATAAAAACTATATTATTGTGGATTTACACCCAAGTATATAAGTAATTACATTTAATTTAAATGGAGTATGTACCTCAGTTAAAGAAACAAAAAGCAAAGATGTGAGAGTAATACTGAAAAATAAATGCGCATGCTTTCTTTAAGAAATGAAAGATTTAAAACATGATTCAGAAAGGATAAAAATAAAAATATGGAAAAATGTTATTCCAGTGCAAATAAAGATTGAAAGAAATATAGCTATATGGCATCCAGGAACTGAAGATTTTAAAACGCAAGAAGATACTAGAGATACACAGAACCGTTTTATAAGGATATACTGTTCAATAATTTGGTAGATGCAACATTTTAATCTTGTATGTACATAATAACATGCTCTCAAAGTATCTAAGTGCTGACAGAGCCAGAAGTACTGATCAAATTCACAATTATAGTGGGAGAATTTTAACATTCCTAGCACAGTAATTGGTAGAACAAACAAAATATTAGGATTAATTTATATATCAGACAATTAATAAACTTGATACACAAAATATCTGGAGAATACTATAGAACACAAGTATGAAAAACTCAGTCTAATATCACTGATGAATATAAAATAAGAGCAAACAATACAAATTCTTCCAGATAATATAAATAAATGAACACTCTCCAATGCATTTTATATGACTAGCATAACCTTGATACCAAAATTCAGCAATTTTTTCAATAGGAAAAAAATCACATTCCAGTATCACCCAAGAATATAAAATGAGAGTGAAACTTATCCACCAACATATAAAATAGATATTATTTCTAGTTCGATTTATTCAAAGGTTGCAAAGTTAAATCAGTGATCACAAACCAAATGATTTATTTTGCAGTATTAACAGAGTAAAGGGGAATCATTTTAATAACTAAGGAAGTATTTTCATATGTGTGCACAGACAGAATACAAATATTTCAACATACTCTTAACACAGTATTTCCCTGATAGCTTTGTAATTATGCTAAGTATTAATTTAACAATAATTATAACATCTCCACATATGTTAAGAAATAAGGTGGCTCACACCTGTAACTGCAGCACTTGGGAAGGCTGAGTCTGGCAGATCACCTGAGGTCAAAACTTTGAGATCAGCCTGGCCAACATGATGAAACCCTAACTCCACTAAAAGTACAAACATAGGTGGGTGTGGTGGCTAAGGGATTTATGTGGATGGGAACAGAATAAATATAGCCTAAACATCAGAAACAAATGTTATTCTCTCTTGGAAACTCTTAACAATCTGAATTTGGGACACATCTCTCTCATATCTACTTAATCTCCTGTGTATATAGAACAAGGTTGATTCATCACCTGCAGACAAAACCTAAGAATTTCTCTCAGTTTCTGCAATCAGAGGATGCAGGAACATGAAATGAGGTCAGAGGCTTATTCTACTTACCTACACTATATCAGACAGAGAGAGGAAAGTCAAGGAGAAAACGGTGAGGAAAGCAGCTCTCTCAGGAAAAAAATGTGAGGACAAGCTCCCTTCTCATCATAAAAATTGGAAGTGAGTCCCACTCTGGCTCTTTCCCACCCTGAAGACCTATAGGCAGACATGCCTACCTGCCCATAGAGCTCCCAGTCAGATTCCCCCTCTCAAGAGAAGTATCTGTAGGTACAATAACACACAAAAATGCAGAGAAAACCCATGTGAACTAATCCCTCTCAACCAATTCCATATTCAACTAAGGATCACATATCCTGGAGAAAACTAGTACAACAGAATACAAGTGGCGTGGTGATAGAACAGGACAACCCAACTCAAAAGAAACAGGTAATTCAAAGAATAGAATTGAATGTACAAAAATAATCATAGTCATAGTTGTGTTTTTTGTTTGTTTGTTTTGAGATGAGTCGCTCAGTCGCCAGGCTGGAGTGTACTGGTGCCATCTTGGCTCACTGCGACCTCCACCTCCCGGGTTCAAGCGATTCTCCTGCTTCAGCCTCCTGAGTAGCAGAGACTACATGCACATACCACCATTCCCAGCTAATTATTATATTTTTAGTAGAGACAGGGTTTCCTCATGTTGGCCAGGATAGTCTCAAACTCCTGACCTTGTGATCCACCTGCCTTGGCCTCCCTAAGTGCTGGGATTACAGGTGATGCACCTCACCCCGCCTCATAGGGAGTTTTATGAGAATATTACATTTTCCATTAAGTTGAGGCTGCTATGAAAACGGAACAATCCGAAAGTAAGAAAATTTGGGAAATCAAAATAACATTGCAAATATAAACATTGAGGAAAATTTTTTGCATGTGCAGTGAAAATAACGGCATGGAAAATATAATTAAAAGGTGTTAAGGAAATCTGAGGGATGAATATTGTGGATTCAATATCTACAGAACAGAAATTTCGAGAAGAGAGAAAAGAAGCAATGGAATCTCATAAAATAAAGGCTTGGAAAAGGAGAGCAATTTTCTCAGGTTAGATGTGTAATGTTACCTACGGAAGACAACTGAGGAATCATCACAGTTGGGGGGGGCTCCATCCTTCCTCACATTGACATTGGAGCTCATGGTCACACACCTAGGGGAGCAATGATCCCGTTAGTGTCCCTGCTAGACTGACTACAAACTCAAGGCCCTTATCATCCATAATAAAGTTCAATCGAAAACAGGAATAACTCCATTTCCAATCTCCAGGCTTCCATCTATCTATAAAAGTATGAATGAATGAGAGGCATTTCATAAATGATTCTCAGAAGAAGCTTCTCCTTGAACCATGCTACTAAATAGTTGGACAGACTTAGTAATTCTCATGATTTAATGCTGAAAACATTCATTTAGTTTTATTATGACTGAGCTAAAATGTCGTAAGATTCAGAGAGCTTAGGGAAACATATTTTCAGAACTTACAGCATGTCCTTTGCAGTTAGATGAGCAGTTGGTTGATTTGTAGGCTTTCTCGATATCCACACATTCTGCATTAATGCAAACCTGAAAGTGATGTAGAAAACATGAAGCTGAATCCTCTCTGAATGTAGGTGAGAAAGTTGAGGTCTGTGTGAAGAGCTAGCAGATGTCGTTTAAGGTGGCTTTGCCCAGGAGGCTGTTGCAGAGGAAGGGAAATGGAGATGGTATTTGTTGCTCATGGTATACTCTTTGTTAAACCAACCCAAAAAGATCGATAAACTATGTAAGCATTTATGTATTTTTAAAGATCACAACAACTCTATATCCCAGAAGCAATGACTATACACAAAGTTAAGGTATGAGCAATAATAAGATGATCTTAATGCCAACATGAGTGGCATACTTAATGAATCATGCTACTGAAGGGTTGAACAAACTTAGTAATTCTCAACATTTAATGCTGAAAACATTCCTTTAGCTTTATTATGACTGACCTAAAATGTCATAAGATTCAGGGAGCTTAGGAAAAGATAGTTTCAGAACTTACAGCGTGTCTTTTGCACTTAGATTAGCAGGAAAACCTCATTCTGCCCTACTCCCAGTACCTTCCTCCCTTACGGCCCAAGCACTACAGTACTCAGGCCAGGTCATGTGATAATATCTCAATGTCTTTAAATGCTTCAGCACTAGAAAACATAAGGAAATTATTATCTGAAACCTGGAAAACCCAATTAAAGATTATATTTTATGTAAAGGTTTTTGCCTTGATGCTGTCACGTATTTCAGGAAAAACTGGGAAAAGGAAGAAGTTTAAATACTGTGGGTAATTCTTATAGGTAAGACCTAATGTTTAATGTCAAATTAGCAGATTTATAAACTTTTCTAAATGTTTATTCTCAGCTCCAGGGGCTCAGAGGCCACGTCAATCTCATTCATCTTTTTATATTTACTTTTTAAAACTGTGTGAGCAATACCCACACTAAACCACTCAGAAAATTTTGGACCCATCGTTGAATAAATTTACCTTTAAATAGCCAAACAGTTTAAGCAAATAGATAATATTTTTAGGATTGGCTCTACCACAGTGAATAATCAGGGGAACTTTTTGGTCATGTGGATATCTTAGTAAAATAAATAGGGTAATTCTAATCTCTTATAAGAGACAAACCTCCTCATTGTCAAAGTTTGTGGGTTGGTTGGCTCTTGGCTAAAAAGTACTTTTACTTGAGATTAAGTTCATTACATTATTATATTATTATTAAGATTAAGTTCATTATATTATTAATGATGTACAAATCTGTTAAATGAAGCTTGGTATCACATACCCTGGCACTTTGAGTTTCCAGACTTCGTCTATGAAAGTTAAATGAATGCTACCCTGTGTTAACAGTGTGACAATATGATACTCTTCTTGAAATCATAACAATGAGAGTCAGTTACTTCCAAATTTCACCACGGTGTTTGAGAATGTTACTATCAATGCTTATTGCTACTACTTACTAGGTTCTGTGACATTTTTATTTCTCAATGTTTCAAATTCAAATATCTATGGGTTCTATTAAGGCATGGTGAGCCCCAAAATTGGGAAGCAAGGCAGGTAGTGAATAACTGAGAGACAAAACAACAAAACACATCAAAGCAAAAAATACTACTTTGAGTGAAAGCCACATTTCAACTTACCTTGTTATGGCCACACTTAGTTCCATTGGTCACCATGCCTATTTCTTGACTTGTGTCTTCAGGATCAAATGTTTTACATGTCAGGAAAGTCACTATCCGTCCCTTCCAGGGCACATTATCTGACCCACCTTGACAGAACAACTTCCCACACATGGTATCACTGAGGAAAAGGCCAAAATTTATTGCAGGATTCAAATTGCATTTTATATAAATCTCTAGGACTATGGATATTTAACTGATAGTATTTTTTTCCCAGTAGCAGAGATTTTTAATTGTACTTTATACTCATTTTCTCTTATTTTTCAGTAATAGGATACCCAAATGTTAGCACAATACATTATTGCTCAAATAAACAGCATCACCCAGATCCCCGTATGCCTAATTTTTGTCAGTTTCCTAACTAGTGGCCCATGAGAGGAAAACAGAATCTTAAGCACCAATTCTAGAGGGTAGTCTTAAATGAAGAAGTATCTTCTATTTCTCAGTGCTGTCTATTTTTGCTGATTGGAGTGTGATAGCTGGAGAAGTCATCACGACTGAAACACTTGGAAATGGAGGTCATGTGGATGATGGAGTTAGAAGGTAAAATGTGGATTCCTAACATCATGGAGGGCATCTGAGAAATCAGTGTCCTTCTTGCTTCAGACAGGTTACTCACTTACTTCTATAACTGGCTGCAGAATAATTCCCCCAAACAAAAGCCCAGCTCTCCACTATAGTTCTGTCAGTACAAAGCTGAGCCTCTCTTGACACTGCAAGGCATAAGGTGGAGTTACTAAAGGAACTGTCTTCCTGAAGCTGCCGATTAAACTGCTCAGCACTCAATCAAGCCATTAATTTACTGCCAGCAGGACTAAAAGACAATAAAATCGAAGTCAATTAGTTTATGCAGAATTCAGAAGAGGGCTATGAGAAAGTATCCTGAAAGTGATGGAATCAGATTTTTTTATACCTCTCGGCTGTAGAAAATATGTTTCAGAAGGGGAGAAAAGCATATGTTCTCTCTAAAACATGAGAGTGTGCTTTTCTTGAATCATTTAGGTAAAGCCATAAAGGATGGCTTTAGGGCACAGGGAATTTCAGGCTAACTCTCCCCTGTAGCTGATGACTATTAGAGAGTGACTAGGAGGGCAGTTTGTTGGGTGAAGGAACTGCTTGAGCCACTAGTTGCAGAAACTATGTAATGCTCACGCAAAAAGTTACATAGGACAATGGTGTGTGCACAGGCTGCAGAGGAAAGATAGCAAGAGCCACTGTCTTCCCGTTCACCACCTACACATTACCTTTCCTCTGGCCCTTCCCTACTGCCTTTCACATGATTTCCTCTTTTGAATCTGACCTGATATCCTACAAAAAAAGAAACCACAAGACCGGCAATAATGGTTGTTGTCTAGGCACAGATTCCTCCAAGAGATAACCCTGTATCCAAAGTATAGTTTGGTAATATCAGTCATACAGTGAAATTCGTGTCCGATAGACAAACTTTGGGAAATAGTGATCTTGTACAACTTCTTGTTATAAATTACTTTTTATGGGTAAAATTTAGAGCGGGTACAAAGGTTTAATCTACTATAATTGAATTTTAAAACCCATCTTAAAATTGCAGAATTAAAAATAAACCATAGAGAAATCTAAAGTCCATCTGGTATGCTGTTCTATAGTGCTTTCCAGATGTCAGTACTGAAACTAACAAACTTTTTAGATGCATTGTCAATATTTTCTCTTACTGTATTTTTTCTTTATGTAATTCTACTCTTCAAGCATTGCATCTGTTATTCCTGTGGGTAGATACATATTTTTACTCTGAAACATATAAGGAAAAGCATTTGCTTGGGAAAGCATCTCATTTATACTGGGAAATCCCTGGACAATTTTTAAAATCTTTTTTATTTTTCCAGGTTCTTAGGTTACAGGTTGTATTTGGTTACATGAATAAGTTCTTGTATTATTATTATACCTTAAGCTCTGGGGTACCTGTGCAGAATGTGCAGGTTTGTTACATAGGTACACATGTGCCATGGTGATATGCTGCACCCATCAACCTGTCATCTACATTAGGTAACATCCTAATGTTACCCTCCCCTAGCCCCCACCCCTCAAAAGGCCCCAGTGTGTGATGTTCCCCTCTCTGTGTCCATGCATTCTCATTGTTTAACTCCCACTTAGGAGTGAGAACATGGGATGTTTGCTTTTCTGTTCTTGTGTTAGTTTGCTGATAATGATGGTTTCCAGTTTCATCCATGTCTCTGCAAAGGACATGGCTGCATAATATTCCATTATGTATATGTGCCACATTTCTTTTTTATCCAGTCTCATTGATGGGTATTTGGGTTGGTTCCAAGTTTCTGTTATTGTAAAGAATGCTGCACTAAACATACTTGTGCATGTATCTTTATAGTAGAATGATTTGTAATCTTCAGGGTATATACTCAGTAGTGGGATTGCTAGATCAAATTGTGTTTCTAGCTCTAGATCCTTGAAGAATCATCACACTGTCTTCCACATGGTTGAAGTAATTTATACTCCTACCAACAGTGTAAAAGCATTCCTATTTTTCCACATCCTCTCCAGCATTTGTTGTTTCCTGACTTTTTAATTATTGCCATTCTAACTGGTGTGAGATGGAATCTCAGTGTGGTTTTAATTTGCATTTATGTAATGACCAGTGATGATAAGCTTTTTTTCATGTTTGTTGGCTACATAAAAGTCTTCTTTTGAAAAATATCTGTTCATATCCTTCACCCACTTTTTGATGGGGTTGTTTTTTCCTGTAAATTTGTTTAAGTTCTTTGTAGATTCTGGATATTAGCCCTTTGTCAGATGACTAAATTGCAAAGATTTTCTCCTATTCTGTAGGTTGCCTGTTTACTCTGATGAATGCTTTACAGAAGCTTTTTAGTTTAAATAGATCCCTTTGGTCAATTTTGGCTTTTGTTGCCATTGCTTTTGGTGTTTTAGTCATGAAATCTTTGCCCATGCCTATGTTTCCTGGACACATTTCTAACCAGACCCATTCTTTGTTGCATGTTCTTTCACAGCCATTCATTCTGTTCAACAATGACTGTGCTTGGTGTCATCTGAAGCACCCACCATGAGGTACTTGAAGAAAGAACCCATTTCTTACTTATCTTTTTAGACTCAGTAACTAGCCCACAACACGACGTATAGAAGTTACTCAATAAATGTTTGTCAAATGATTGATGACCTATTTCACTTTCCCTTTACCTGGAATAAATCAGAATGTGTAGCTGGAAGTGTACCATTGCTTTAGTCTGTGAAGCAGAAAGGTTCAGAAAAGGCCACTTACTTTGCTTTGCAGGAAACGGGTGTGCCGTCCACCTTGCGACAGTACCCGTACTTTGACCCGTCTTCATTCCTGCTGTAACATGACTTATCTGCAACCTCAGCTCCTGGGACCAAGCACAGTCAGTAGGGAAAAGAAAATAGATTTTTAGATTCAAGAGATATTTGAAAAGAAAAGAGATTTTTAAAATTCAGTACTGGCAAAGGATTTATAAAATACAAAACAAGAAAAATACTATAATACTTTCATTGGCCACTCCTAGAAACACAGGCTGCAGTAATTTGGTATCAAATGAGCTGGGTTGAATTGTAAATAAATGGTCTTTTAAGTCATCTATTATTCCACAATAAACTCCTACTATGTGCCAGGTACAAAAATAAGCATCCCACATTTCATGTCTCAGGTATCTTCCTCAGATCTCGATCAGACAAATCACATTGGTTAAGAGCTCAGGCTTTAAGCAAGACTGAGTAGTTGTGTGAATATGGGCAATGCCTTAACCCCTGAGTTTTCTAATCTGTAAAATAAGGATAAGTATATATAATTATGAATGTATATTTAACCTTATATTTACACATAAATAAATGTGTATATGCACATATATATAATAGTACCTACCTCAAAGAGTTGTTTTGAAGATTAAATCATTTAATACAGGCGAACTACTGAGAACAGTATGTGGTCAGCAGTACACGGTTGACAAATACTAACCATTTTTATTGCTATTCTCAATTTATTAATAAGGAAAAAGAATCCTATTGAGTCACACAGAGAGACCTATGCTGCTTCTCTGTGCTGAAGTGCCCCTCTTAAAGATCAGTAAGTAACTCTGTCTTAAACATCTGGAAAATTTGAATCTAGGCTTTGACAAATAGCAAACTAAGTGAAAAATAAGCAAATACCTATGAAGATAGTTTATTGTTTTTAACAAATACTTTAAACCTGTTATGATGACTTGTAAACTCAAAATATTTTAAGTTAATTTCACGTTTCAATGTGCAAGATAATAAAATGTTTTGTTACCATTTTTTTGATTTGTATTTTAGTAAAATTTATACATTTTTATTATACAATATCTACACAGAATAAAAGAATCATTAGTCATGAATAATCAGGGAAAAGCATTATATTGCTAATCTGAGACTTCAGAGTTATTGCTGCTAATATTGGAGAATGTATCTTTTATATATATGGCATCATGCTATTTTATAACTTATTTCTTGCCAGTTAAAAATATACCTGTCCTTTCCCTAGGCATTAAATTGTCTAAAGCATCACAGCTGTAAGAATTGCATTGAATTAATATAGTTTAATGTATTAATGCTTATTTTTTTGGATTTTGAGATGTTTTTCAATTACCCACTATCATTAAAAAATGCTGCTGAAAAATCCTCATAAATAAATTCTTTCTGAGTACAATTGCTAGGAGATGGAGTACAAAATTTTTTTAAAATTTTGTGTATGCATTTTTCTCTCTGTAAAGATTATGCTAATTTGTATATTTACTAGCAGTATATGAAGGGAGTTGTTTGGTCACGTTTTCACTGACATTGAACATTAACATCTGTAGCCAACTTTTGCCAGTTGGCAAATATAGAAGATTAGCTTGTTTTCATTCAGGTTTTGTATATTGCTGGACAGTTAAAATGATTTTAATTTCTGTGACATATTTTTATTTCTTCTCCATGATGAAAGGCCTGCTTATGCCATAGCCATATTTTCAAGACTTGGAATTACAACTGATTTTTAGGAATGATTTGATGTCAAAAAGAATTATTTTTAAATTACTTACAAAGTTACAAGACTTTTCAGACTTTCCAGATTAATTTAAAATAAGTGCATAATTCTCTGTGAATTGTAAAATTTGGAATTTTATTTAGGTAAATGGATTTCTCTGGCCTTTTATAATGGCGGTCTTTAAATGCATGATCGAAGAGGTTTTCTCCATTTCATGATCAGATAAAGATGGTCCATGTTAATTCAGTAGACAGTTTTGAGCTTTTTACTAAAGCCAGGTACTGTGCTAGGAAGCACTGAGGATACAGCTATGAGCAGCACAGAGAATGTCCCTGTCTCAGCAAGTTTACAGACTTGCGGAGGAGGCTAATCATAGAGTCTGACAAAGGGAGGTAATACTTAATATTGTTTGCAGTTAATATTTCCTGCAAGATAATAAAGGTGATGCTCAGAACTTCACCTCTGTGCTAAAGATTTTTTTCTCCTGGTTTTTGCCTTGTATTGAAGTTAGCCAAGTAAGCATTAACTTCTTAACCAGTAAAGTCAGTTTTGTTTCCTTCTTTAACCTTGCACACTCACGAAGTGGAAGCAGGATTCCTGAGGCCTGCTTCCAGGACGCCAGCGAGCTTCCTGACATACTAATGGTATTGAGCTTTGCTCCTCAAATTGTCTCTTAACCCACCGCAGTCAAAGACTGAGGAGTTTACAGGGAGGTTTTTCTAGGGCTGTGTCTATTAATTTCCCAGGTTCCTTGTTTTCACAGTGCATTGTAAGTCAGGAATTTTTGTTGATTTTCTCAATCTTGGCTTAGCTGTATTTTCAGGAATTATGAAAAGTTTCTGGTATGCCATGTCCCTTTCAAATGTTTTTAGGAATATGTAGATTTTCTCTATTTTAAAATATTGTTTCAGTCATTTAAATGGGAATCTGAAACTATTAGGAAGGGGGTATGTCAAGAAAATACATATACACAATACACATCATATCCAGAAAGTCCAAATAACTGTTTTTTTTTTAAAAAAACAAAACTTGCCTTTTTTTTTTTTTTCCAAATTAAATTTTGTGCCCTTTGACCAACATCTCCCTACCTCCTCCCTGTCACCCCCTGGAAACAAACATTCTACTTTCTACTTCTATGTGTTCAACTTTTTTATATGTCACAAATAAGCAAGAAATGTATATGATCTAAAGTTGCCTTTCTACTAAAGTTATTTAATGCTATTTAAATTGCTGTTCACATTTTCAGGTATCTCTTTAAGTTAAACTTTTATTTTTCAAGTTTTCTTCTTGGTGAAATTAAAGAATATGGTCTCTAAAATTTTGGTGTTATGGACAAAGTGAGCATTTAAGGACTTTATGTTTTCTTGATTGCCCTTCTGCATTTCCAGAGTTGTTCTTTTTTCCACCTTCCCTCGTTTCTGTCCCATCCCCCAGTACTTCTTCCACCCCTACACACACACACACACACACACACACAGAGAGAGAGAGAGAGAGAAAGAGAGAGAGAGAGAGAGAGAGACAGAGATTTCTAAGGGTTTACGATCTTAGTTAGAGTTGCCAGATTTAAAAGAATAAAAAGGACACCAAGTGTAATCTGAATTTCAAATAAATAAATAATTTATATTAGTATAATCACACCTCAAATATTGCATGGGACATGCTGAAGCTAAGACAAAAAGTTGTCATTAATTTGAAATTAAAATTTAACTGAGCCATCCTTATTTTTATTTGGTAAATCTGGCAACCCTAAAACCAACCTCAAGTCTTAAAACCATTCCATGATTTTGAGTTCAAAGTGTCTAAGAAGGATAGGACATAATGGTCCTTTGGCCATGATTAAACACTGTCATCTGAAATGATTTTTCTTCACACATGCACAGAGGAAAGGATTTGTCCTCCTACCTGGTCCCCACAGCTCAGTGCACTGCTCCTGCAGTGTGGGACATGCCCCCATCAAGCAGTAGCCCTTCCCCTGATGGCAAGGGAAGCCATTGACTTGGAATCTATCATCAGGACAATTACCAGATTTACCATCACACATTTCAGGCAGGTCGCACTCATCTCTTGCTTGTCTGCACACCATCCCAGCCTTTTTAAACTGTGGAAAAACAAACATAGAAGGCTTTTTCTTTCCTACCTGCTTTATCCTAATATCTCAAATCAACACATGATATTTTCCATTCTGGCCTTTTGGGGCATGCTAGTTGGAGGTGTGATTTCATTTCAGTTTACATTGTTATTATAAATTAAAGCCGTTCTCTGTTACATCACTTCAACCTAAGTTGTGTGTGTCACCTAGGATGGAGTGCAGCAGTGTGATCTCAGCTAACTGCAACCTCCACTCCTGGATTCAAACTATTAACGATTCTTCTGCTTCAGCCTCCCAAGTAGCTAGGATTACAGGTGCACACCACCACGCCAAGCTAATTTTTGTATTTTTAGTAGAGATGGGGTTTCACCATGTTGGCCAGGCTGGTCTTGAACTCCTGACCTCGTGATCCTCCTGCCCCAGCCTCCCAAAGTGCTGGGATTACAGGCATGAGCCACCACGCCCAGCCTATGCCCTAAGTTTTTAAGCAATCAATATTTCTGAATTTGTACTACAAACACTAAAGAAACATAATGTAGAAAAGTACAGGAAAAAAACAAGCAACAACTTAGATATAAAGAAGGGAGTTATTTCTCCCTTTGTTGAATGCATCTCTGTCACGAACTCCAAGGAAGTTTAAGTCTGCAACTTCAGAGATTTACTGGTAAAGTGGATCTTTGGTATTTAAGGAGATAAGCTTACAAACACCACATCAACAGGATCAGACTTCCCCAGGCCTTGAGTTTCCTAATCCTTAATTCCTTTTATTGTAGGTTGAGCTATTTCCTTTCAGCTAACTTCTTCCATAGAATGACTTATCATGAGGGAGAAATAACCAAATATTTACTTGATATGTTAACTCGGTTGTAATCAATTACTGCAAATCTTACTCTTTTTTCCCATTTATTTATTTTATTGCATTTTAGGTTTGGGGGTACATGTGAAGAACATGCAAGATTGTTGCATAGGTACACATGTGGCAGTGTGATTTGCTGCCTTCCTCCCCATCACCTACATCTGGCATTTCTCCCCATGATATCTCTCCCCAGCTCCCCACCACCCACCATCCCTCCCCTATTTCCCCCCAACTGACCCCAGTGTGTAGTGCTCCCCTCCCTGTGTCCATGTGTTCTCATTGTTCAACACCCGCCTATGAGTGAGAACATGTGGTGTTCGATCTTCTGCTCTTGTGTCAGTTTGCTGAGAATGATGGTTTCCAGGTTCATCCATGTCCCTACAAAGGACACAAACTCATCGTTTCTGATGGCTGCATAATATTCCATGGTGTATATGTGCCACATTTTCCCTGTCCAGTCTATCGTCGATGGGCATTTGGGTTGGTTCCAGGTCTTTGCTATTGTAAACAGTGCTGCAATGAACATTCGTGTGCATGTGTCCTTATAGTAGAACGATTTATAATCCTTTGGATATATACCCAGTGATGGGATTGCTGGGTCAAATGGAATTTCTATTTCTAGGTCCTTGAGGAATCGCCACACTGTCTTCCACAATGGTTGAACTAATTTACACTCCCACAAACAGTGGAAAAGTGTTCCTATTTCTCCACATCCTCTCCAGCATCTGTTGTCTCCAGATTTTTTAATGATCGCCATTCTAACTGGCGCGAGATGGTATCTCAATGTTGTTTTGATTTGCATTTCTCTGATGACCAGTGATGATGAGCATTTTTTCATATGTTTGTTGGCCTCACGTATGTCTTCTTTTGTAAAGTATCTGTTCATATCCTTTGCCAGCTTTTGAATGGGTTTGTTAGTTTTTTTCTTGTAAATCTGTTTTAGTTCTTTGTAAATTCTGGATATCAGCCCTTTGTCAGATGGGTAAACTGCAAAATTTTTTTCCCATTCTGTTGGTTGCCGATTCACTCTAATGACTGTTTCTTTTGCTGTGCAGAAGCTGTGGAGTTTGATTAGGTCCCATTTGTCTATTTTGGCTTTTGTTGTCAATGCTTTTGGTGTTTTGCTCATGAAGTCCTTGCCTACACGTATGTCCTGAATGATTTTGCCTAGATTTTCTTCTAGGGTTTTTATCGTGTTAGGTCTTATGTTTAAGTCTTTAATCCATCTGGAGTTAATTCTGAGAAACCTTAGTAAAACAAATTCTGCAATTCCTGCAAAACTGAGAAAGCATGTTTGCTTTTTCCCCTTTCTAACAGAAGCAGATAGGTTTTCACTGCATTAAATAACTTAGAATATCTTAGGACCAGTGATAGAATCCAATCCAAATTTCAGTGCAAGGCTGTGAGAGCCTCCAAATTCAACCCATGGCTCCAGCTAGACAATTTCTAACCAGATATCACACAAACCATGCCTTGTATCTTCTCTTATGTCTTTGCTGTTTCTGTGCTCTCATTTGGAAATTCTTTTCTTGTGTGACTAAATCTCTTTTGTCTAAAATTTTTAAAAGTCCGTTTGAAAGCCCTTTTTCCCACCAAGGCTCCTCTGACCTCTTCAATGCAAATTGCCACTTCTGTTTCCTTCATGTGCTTGGAAAGAGTTGAATTCAGATTTAGGTCATGGGGATTTGAATCTTGGCTCTGTGAGTGTCTAAGTGCCGAACTTTAGAAAATAGATTTAATCCTTCTGAAAATCCCTGTCCTCATCAAACATCTACTTTACAAGGCCATTGTGAAAATCAAGTGAGAGTTTACATGAACAGTTTAATATTTCATTATGCTATCAACATGGCCATCGGATCATACATTATATTTTTATCTGTTTCATGTATGCATGTCATTGCCCTAAATAAGCAGTAAGAAACAGGATACTTCTTTATGTACAATAATCTCTAACAAATAACATTTCCTAAACGCTCTTTGAATACTAAAGTTCTCAAATGTACTCCCTTTTGGATTTCTCTATTTCTTTCCTCTCTCTGACACTAAAAACAAAGTAACCAAATATTTCCTATAACTTGGTATGCCATCTGCACATTCATGCTGCAGTTACAGATCATTTAAAATGTGTGAAATTCTGTGCTAGGTGAAAGTGAAACAGTCCTTTGCCCTTAGCAGTCGATATAATTATAGAAACAAACAAACCCTCACAATATAGAATGATGATATGCAACAACAGGAAGTTAAATCCTAAACTTGACTTTGAAGGACAAGTCAGAGAAGCACCACAGAGAACATGACATGTCTTATTTAGAAGAATTTCAGCCTGAAGTGGCTTCAAAGATTGAAGATAGGGACACCCCACACTACTCAGAATAAAACCTCTTCCACCACACACATCACTATAGAGAGATAAAATCAGTTTTGTGAGATTTGACCTGAGAAAGCCATGGAGCATGAGAAACAGCAGCAGACAGGAGTAACTAGCATTAGCTTTGGAGCTGGTCACACTTGGGGTTATCCCACTAAACAGTGGCCATGTTTATTTTTACATTTTTTATTGTCTATATTTAAGGTGTGCATGATTGAATATACGTATACATGGTGAAATGCTTACTACCTATGTACACCTATGTGCCCACAAAAATTAAAAATGAAAAATTTTTTTAAATGATTACTATAGTCAAATTGATGTATTGGTCTCTTACATAGGGGTGTGTGGGTGTGTGTGTGGGTGTGTGTGTGTGTGGGTGTGTCTGGTGAGAACACTTGAAATCTCTCTTAGCAAATTCCTGATACACAATACAGTATTAATACCTATAGTCATGTCGTACCTTAGATCTTTAGCCTTATTCATCCTACGTAACTGTAACTTTGTCCCTTTTGGCCATCATCTCCCCGTTCCCCCAGCCTCCTTACCCTTGTAAACATGATTCTACTCTCTGTTTGTATATATTCAACATTTTTGGATTCCACATATAAGTGAGATCTATATGCAGTGTTTTTCTTTCTATCCTGGCTTATTTCACTTAGCATAATGTTCTCAGGTTTATCCAGGCTGTAACAAATAGTGGCCATATTATTTTGTTCATTTTCTACTCTGCATTTGTCCTCAGAAACAAATGAAATAATATCTACATGAAGGGTCATTGGAAGATTAAATAGGCTATGTATATTAAGTACTAAGTGCTTGGTAAATAGTAGATATATCATTTCATAGAAAGAAAAATATTGTACTACTTATCCAGTTAACATAATCACTGAGATGTTATACAAAAATGTAATCGTAATTATTAAAATAGAATAAAATAATAATCTTACTTGGCATTTTTCACAACATTCTCCTAAGGCACATTGAAAACTTGCTTTGATTTTACATGTTTTAGCATCACAGCAAATGTTGGTACATTCCTAAAAAATATGAGAAACAAATATAAATGCAATATTACTTTTTGGTCCCAGTTCAGCCCAATTTGTAACATAATATATTCATCAGGCACATGTTACTTTCATGAAGTTTGAATATGACTTTTCAAAATTAAAGACAAAAAAATTAGAAAACCTGAAATTTTGGAGCAACTGATGGTTTGCTGTTTATCTCAGTTCCACTTACATCATTTTTCTATTAACTACTTCAATCAGTTTCCAATAATATTAAGGAAAGACCTTTTCTTTTTGGCAAAATATGAAGGAAAAAACATAGTTCTTAAGATTTGTGTAATTATAGAACATAATTCCTTCAACTCATCAGTTATGTATATATCTAGCAGTAAATCCAATTGCTAGAATATATACTGAAAAACTAAAGGTATACCTCTTTATCTAACTTTAATACTTAATTCAACTGTGCTTGAAGCAAAAGCCTTCGACTTGGTCTCTCTGCTTTGTTTCAGAATCCTGCCTGCACAAGCTATTGGAGAAAGTCCTCCCTCAAAAATGTTCTCTGCAGCTGTCTAGATTCCCTTAGAAGGGTAATAGTTTTAGAGTTATAACATTTTAGGCTTAAAACTATTGCCCTTAGTTCAAATATAATCATCAACCAGGACAGACTGTTTTTTCTCATAGAGTGAATAAATACATAATCAAATAAATAATCATAACAGCTAGTGCTCGACTTACGACCACGATTGGTTCCGACAGACCGGCCGTAACATGATTTGGTCGTAAGTTGAGTAGGCTATATGCACACGGAGATGGTAGTGCTGCCGGAAGCTGGTCCGCACTGTCGTACTCCCAGCTGGGCAATGTTTGCGCTGCCAGACGCGGAGCAGTCGTGGCTAGCGATTGTGGTCGTAAAGTCGAATGGTCGTAAGTTGCATAGGTCGTAAGTCGATCAATACCTGTACTTCAAAGTTACTGAAAGCCAATACCCTGAAGGCTTGATATATTACTTATATTAAGCATTAATAACATTGAAGGAGAGGTCCTATTCAAAATCCCAGCTGTCCTGTGAATAGGGTCAGGACAGAACTTCTGATGGTAATAACTTCTGAGTCCCAAAGCAGGAAGGGCTACACCAGATCCCTGTGCTGAGTGGTCTTGGGTTTCAGAGCTGGAAACAAATACATTTGAAACAACATCTTGGCACCTCCATTTGCCAGCCCAGTGACCTTGAACCATCAAGCTATGTGTACTCTGAGCACTCTCACAGTGCTGTGTCAATGCTTGGTGAGTCACAGTCATGTAAGAAACTTAAAGTATTTCACTCAGAAAGGGAGGGAGGAGGACACAAAGCCCAAGTTAGTAAATAGACCTTAATAAAGGAATGAGGACCGAACCCTGGCAGAAATATTATCAAGGTCTGTTCACAGTACAGGATTCCTGGTCAAAAAGATTTTCCTGGAAAGTACCTCCAAATGGACATATCCAAAATGACCAAAAAACCTACAGTGTTATAGTGGGCCACACCTTCTTTTAGAGTGGTTTATCTTCTTAGCGATAGAAAAACAACTAGATCCTTTTAGAAAGTGATTGGCAATACCTCAGAAGTCCCACAATCACAGTCCTCTCCCATTTCCACCAACTGGTTCCCACAAATCGGGGTGGATATGATATCTGTACGCAATGGAGCATTGAAGAGGCAATTTGATAATTTATCTTGAAAAAACTTGTCATAGCTGACACGGCTGCAGGAGCTGAAGTCTGTGGGTATATGGAAGCTGTGAAGATAAGGAAAGACAAACGTGGAATACAGTCCTGCTTAGCATATGGGAAGCAGTATCTGAAATTTGGCACAATTACACCCACAGCCTGCCCCAAAAGACAAAATCCAATCCACTGGCCAACTGCTGAATGGTGAGCTCATTTCCATGCCTGAATTAACCCACTTGTGTGGACACAAACACTTGCAACTTCATGAGAAAATATAGTCTTATTTCAAAATGTAGCATCCAGGCCACTTTTAATAAAAAAAAAATGACTCTGACTTCTCCAGATAATCTTAGATCATTTTGGGGTTGTGAAGTCCTACAGGTAGCAAAATAATACTGATTTACATGTCTCAGAATTCACTTTCCTTTAGAGGAATTCCTACTGATAGGATCTCTTCATCCCACATATAAAGATGAGGTTTAAAATTCATAATGGAGGAGAAAGATAACTTAAGCTCTGTAACTGGCATGCAGCCATATGCTATTATGTGAAGGGGCTTTGGAGAATAACCCTAGCTTGAATGGGCTGAAGGAGGAAATGAAAATAGAAAAGAGGAAATAAATAGTTTATAGAGTGAGCTGTAGGAATAGAAAAGAGGACATGAATATATAAAAAAGATTGTGAGATTTTTAAATATAAGATTGCCTGAAAATTTTGCCTAAGTCAGGGTAGGAACGTGTGATGTCTTTTCATAGACTGTCTTCATTGTCCTATAAGAAGTTTCTTCTTTAATTAGATTTTTATTTTAAAACCCTTTCCTGACCACCATCTATTCTGAACTTACGGAAAGCCTGAAAAATGCTAATAATTTTTCTGAAGCCAGATCTTATATAGATAAGATGAGGATAAAATGATGAATTGCCGCCAGAGCAAAGAGACAATATTTTTAAATTATGTCTTACTTATTGAAAAATGTTACAGATAGATGAGGTGGCTTGGCACAAATGCACATGTATTTAATCACTCAAAAACTTGAACACGTTGTTCCAGATGACCTAGAGAGTAGTAGAGCCCATTATGGATCAAAACCAGGGCTACACAGCATGCCCCCAGAGAGCCTTACCTCAGTGCTTTGTCCATCACACATCTTGTAGAAGGGCACTTGCAAGAATGGTTGTCATGAAACATTCCAAAGTTGTGGCCCATTTCATGGGCCATTGTCCCTGCAACTCTAAGAAGATTGTCACTGTGATCCTAAGGGTATGAAAGAAGAAAAAGATACTCTGATTTTCAAATGGACTTAACATTTACTCTACCTGCTCATGTGCGCTCTCTCTCTCTCTTTCTCTCTCTCTCTCTCTCTCTCTCTCTCTCTCTCACACACACACACACACACACACACACACAACTAAGTAGAACTGAATGCACATCACAGTATATATGGTCTGCCCTTTGCTCTGTGAGTAGGTTCCTATAATGAAGGAAATTGTTTCGGCTTTCCTTCCATGAAAGATGATGGCAAATTTACATCTACAATGATAAGAAATAAGAACTTTTTAAGTCATCGATCTCCTTCCCCTATGACTTGCCTTTTAGAAGTCTTTGATGCATTTGGCCATTAGGGATCTAAAATTGTTTGTCAACCTAGCACTTAGCTTTATTTGTATCTTTCTCAATTCCATTATTGCCAAGAGTAGACATGAGTCAGTTATAAAACTCCCCCATTGCATGAAGTCCAGCCTATGGCCAGCTTGATCACCAGATTGTATCTGGTTTGAGGTGCTTGTACTCAACTCCAAACTTGCAGGTAAATTAGAGCTTGCAGCTATAAATCATCCAGGAGCAATAAAACAACGCAGGAGAATCATTGCTGGTTAAGGAGACAAGAATCTGCCAGTAACATCCGCCTGTAGAAGTCTGATTCTCTTATCTGCTTCATCTCAAAGAACTAGATGTAAAGTTTGATAAGGGACAGTACAAGATTGGCAAACAAGGCACAACTGTCTAAGTTGGGAAGTCGATACTTACACTCTTTATATTCTTTCATTCTTTTGAGATGAATGTGGTAAACTCTCCTAGATAGCAATCTGGACCTCTCCAAATGGGGAAAAATGCAGGACAAAAAGCCCAAGAAAAATTAAAATGTGTTTAGAGACTTTTCAGATTGTGTATCTGAATTTCCTTTAACTGTTTTCCTAAATTAAATGATTTATGCCCTTGAATGACCTCCATTCTGTCTTCCCCCTCTAAATCCTACCTACTTTTTGAGGTCCATCTCTTTTTTTTTTTTTTTTTTTCAGATGATGTCTTGCTCTTGTTGCCCAGGCTGCAGTGCAATGGCACAATCTCTGCTCACTGCAACCTCCACCTCCTGGGTTGAAGCAATTCTCCTGCTTCAGCCTTCCAAGTCCCTGGAATTACAGGTGCCCACCACCACACCCAGCTACCTTTTTGTATTTTTAATAGAGATGGGGTTTTGCCATGTTGGCCAGGCTGGTCTCAAACTCCTGGCCTCACGTGTTCCACCTGCCTCAGCCTCCCAAAATACTGGGATTACAGGCTGAGGTCCATCTTAATGCAACTTTTCTTGACTATGTTAATCTTCATCAACAATCCTCTCTTATGAATTCCTAGCATTGTTTTCAATTCTGTAAAGTAGCACTAAGCTACCTACTATATGTTAGAACTATTGCTTTAAGTAGGCAAGTTTCTCTTCCAATTTTATGGCAAGCTATTTCAAGTTTGAAAATATGTACTTTACTATTTCTGCATATCCATGAAGCCTATTATGAATCCGGACTCAAAAGATACTAACTAAAAAATAACGTTAATTCCATTTCTACCTAGGATGTAGAAACCTGGAAAGAACATTTTTACACTAACAAGGACAAGGCAGATAGACAACTATAGCTTCCCTTGAATCCACCAGTAAATTTGGCTTACAGGACATCCAAAGGTCTGTGAAAATATATTCAAAATGAAAGTAAGATAAAGCCTTCCTCAGACAAACAAAACTGAAAGAATTTACTGTACTATAAGGAATGTTTTAAAATGCCCTTGAAAAGAAAAAATATATAATAGTAGATAGAAATTCGGATTTTTATAGAGAAGTAAAAAGTGCTGATAACACAATAATGTGATGGTAAATATAAAATTTTTTTAAAAATCTATTTTAAGTTCACAGGTACAGGTACAGGATTGTTACATAGGTAAACTGTGTCATGGGGGTTTGTTGTGCAAATGAAAACTATTTTTTTTATTTTAAATTGCAATGAAAGATGGATCTCTAAAGCAGAACTAGTAATGTATTGTGTATTTTTGGTGATATAAAGTTAAACATATGATAATAGCACAGTAGATGGGAAGGAAGAGTTAGAGACATACTCTTAACAAGTCTGTACATGGCATGTGCAGCATTGTACAACTATTTCAAGGTAAACTGATGGGTAGAGATGTATGATTAAGTCCTCAAGTAACCATTGTAAACAGTGTTATCAATAAAAGCTAAAAATGGAGATAAATATAATTAGTTTTAAAAACTGTTATTTTTCCTTAAGGCCAAAAACCAAAGACTACATGGAATAAAAAACACCAAGAGAGAACATTTTTAGTTCAACAATGTCAATTATTATATTACATATAAATAATCTAAATTTAACAAATAAAAGACTGTCAGATTTGATGAAAAAGTAAAACCCAAGTACATACTATCTACCAGAAATCTTCTCTAAACATAAAGAAATACACAGATTAAAAATAAAGGATGTATTATCCTACATTGGTCACAAAATGTTGAAATAACCATAATATCCAACAAAATAGACTTCAAGGAATATTTTACAGATAAATATTTCAGGATCCTGACATGATGAAAGGGTCAATTTTCCAAGAAGACGTAAGAACTAGACTTATCTATACAACTATACGTATCTATCTAACAACAGAACTTCAAAAAACATGAACTAAAATCTTAGAGGATTGAAAGAAGAAACAGGCAAATTTATAATTATACATGGTTACTTCAATGTGCTCTATCCATTAAAATTAAATGACCCAAATAATGCAATAAATTAACTTGACATGATTGACAATTATAGAAAACACCATTCAGCAACAGGAGATAATTATTTTCTAGTTTATAGGAGGCACTGACCAGGATCAAACCTCAAAATAACTACAATTATTAAAATCCTTTGAAGTATGTTCCCAACCCCAACAGAATTAAACATAAAATCAACAATAGAAATTATTACAGCACACTTAAATGTATGAGTCAAAGAAGAGATTAAAAAATATTTTTGAACTAAACAAAAATAAAGGCACACATATCTAAATATCTTGCATAGGCAGTACATGGTGGAAAATTTATAGCATTAAAGAATAAATTTGATGCAGAATAAGCAAAAGGATGGAAATAAAAACAGAAATCAATAAAATTGAGAGCAGAAAAATGTAGAGAGAATCAATGAAATCAAATGCTGCCTTTTCTTTAAAGAAGATCAATAAACTAAGAACCCCTAGCCAGACTGACCACAAAAAAAAAGGATACACAATAATAATAGGAATGAGAGAGAGAGGATGTCATTAAAAAATCTGCAAATATTGAATGAATAAAAAAGGATATTAACAACAGATTTTTGTTATCTTTAACAAACAGCTTTCTTTAAAGACATGAACTACCAGTATTCACTCAAGTAGAGATAGAACAGAATGGAAGAAATTAAATGTGTAGTTAAAAATCATTCCAAAAGAAAACTCCAGTTCCATATGGTTTTACCCTTGTATTGTATCAAACATTTTAGAAAGTAATAATACCAATTGTACGTCAATATTTCAGAAAATCAAACAGGTGGAACCATATCACAACTCATTCATGGCTAACTTTACTATGATAACAAAACCTAAAAACACATATTACCAGAGAATAATATTATAGATCAGTAGTACTCATGAATATAGATGCAAAGACTCTAAAGATACATTAACATGTTGAATTAAACAATGTGTTTAAAAGATAATGCATTATGACTATGCTGCATTTACCCTGGAATGCAAAATTAGTTCAACATTTGAAATCAATGTTATTTACCCTGTCAACAGACTAAAGGAGAAAAACTATCATGATCTTGTCTACAGATTTTTGAAAATGCATTTGGTAACCGTAAATGATAGAACCAACAGTTTATCATCATACAAACCTGAACAATGCCAACAGAATGATAAGGAGAGCACATTGTAGACATAAACGCAAGACCCACAGTCGTTCCAGAAAGTTCTGTGGCTCTGCAAGAAAGGATTAAGTTGATACAACAAATTATGTTTAGCTCTATTTTTATAGGCAATTCATCCAAAACTCTTAATAGTTAGCAGAAAAACTCACTGTGAACCATCACTCTCATATTTTTCTTCAGTTTTTGAATTTGTGTAAGATATTTTTCTATAGAATGGCTTTTGTATCACTTCAGATCCAAACACCTAGATATAATCATGTTGCATAGTTTCTGTCACTTCTGATTATAACACTTTTCATTGTGAAATAGATCCCTTGTGAAGAAAAAGAAAGGCTTTTTTGATCCCAATGTTTGTGTATATCTTCTTTTGATATTAGCATTACCACACATGCTTTGTTTTTATTTATATTTTATTCATGTATTTTTAAATCATGTACTTTTGTTTTACATTAGCACTGTTTTAGCTACAGGAGGTTTAGAGATTGGGCACATTTTGAAAGCATTTGTATTATTGATCATTTATATTATTCACATAATTTTTATACTGGAGAGGGTTTTGAACCATTTGCACTTATGTAGATAATGTGTCTTATCTTTGGTAATTTTAATTTTCCTTTTTGGTTCCTTTTAATTTTTCTATTAATCTTTGGTAATTTCATGCTCTTTCCTTTTAGTTTCTTGGCTATCTGTACAAGATTCTGGCTCTATTTGTGTCTAGAAATTTGCAAAGTTTGCAACAAGTTTTTAATTTCCTTAGAAGATGATTTACATGGGAAATTGAACCTGTATTTTCCCATGAAACAATATTAAAAATAGAGAATATCAATTCTGCTATGTAAGTCAAATGAGAAAATTAGAAAATCATACAACTTTCCATTTCCTGCAGATTTTATCTCTCTAATCTGATTTCAGATACTTATTTTAAAAATATATTTTACATTATGCATATTTAAAAGATTTATGATAGCTGTATTTTCTTTTAAAATTATATCATAAAGATATTTACACTTTATTCTACATTTTTGTGGTTTCAATTTTCCCCACTTGCTCATTTGCAAAAAATAACAATTCCTTTATTTTGGAGTTACCTATTTTGGTATATCTTTTAAGTGAATACAGTATATTTTGATGCACCATTTTTACCTACTTATACCTAAATATAGGTATCTTTTGTTATTTTGATAAATGGTAAGACTTGAATTGCATAAATGGAAGAACAAATATTTCCTTTCATTGTATTTTTAATCTGTTTTCATTTTTTTCTGATCTCTTCAAGGAATCTATTCTTGGCATGTATCACCATTTATTTTTACCTATACATTTATCATCTCATCTATTATTTTTAACCTTCTACACTATTACTGTACAGTGATGGAATATTCAGCAATTTGTCTGGCTCTGGTGCCAGGCTGGTAAGAGTTCAGATCCCTCACTACTTACCAGCTATGAGACCTTGGAAAGTCACTAAGTGCCCCCAACAAGAATGGGCTCTTGAGTCTATAACTCACCTTTCTAAGTTAAGAAATTGTATCAGCTGCTTTCCAAAGATGGCCCCCTAATGAACCAGCCTTGCTGTATTCTCAGCCTGAGCAGTGCCTTCCCCTTGAATCTGGATTGGCCCTACAAGTTACCCTTGATTAAGAGACTGTACCTGTAGTGACACCCTGTGACTTTTGTAGTTACATCATAAAAAACCTTGAAGCAATACCTTGTGCATTTTGAAATGCTTATTCTGAGAAAAGCTAGACACCTAGTAATAAGTCCACCTACTCTAAGATAGCCACATTGAAGGAAGCTCAAGTTAGGCACATGAAAGGCAATATAGAGACATGACCAACCAGACTCACTGTTTCAGCCAAATGAGCCCAGATGCCAGTTATGTCAGTGAAGAAGCCTTATTTCAAGCCCGGAAATTCTGGGCTCATTTGTTACACAGTAACAGATGACAAGCAAAGAAATATTAACTAATTATGGCAGGACATAGTTCACTAATTTCCCATGAAGTTCGTGGTTTTCTTGGGTAACAGACTCTCCAGTAACTTCAAGTCAATTCTTACTGCTTCCTTCTATCTAATTTCAACTAAATATTATCCAGCTATCCAGCAGCATTTTCTTGACTCTTTTGAGGTACATCCTTCAGTCTCATAAAATTTACAGCCATTAGATTTATTTCCCATATTGTTCTTAACTGGTCATTTCAGCAGGAAGTAAATTAGGGAAAATGTGGGGTTACAATATAACACTCGATTTTTCTTCTAATAATACCTTAGAGGTTTCTTCTAACTTGAGCCTAACGTCAATCAGTTCTTTTTTAAACACTAAATCAAAAACTCTCTTACATAAACTTGTCTTTTCTTCCTGTATACCCAATAAAAACAAACTTTTTGTGAATCATTGCTAAATATTTGGCCCTGTCTTTTCTTTGAAAAAAAGAGAATATTTGGATGCAAAATAAGTACATATTTGACATATAATCCAAGTAAGTGCTTTGTAAATGTCTACTCTCCTATGTGTATACCTCACTTTGCCAAGGCTCAGAAGAGCTACCACTGAATACCGCATAGTATGCAATGGAGGAAAATCTGTACATACGTGATTAACTGAGCAATATCATGATGCTTTCTTCTCGAGAGAACACTCCCCCTCCATTTAGAAAAATTTTCCAAGGTGAAGCTTGCGTTTGGGGTTATCTTTATCTTATCCTTGTCAGTCCAGATTTCCATACCAACTAAGGCCACGTGAGTATTGAGCTTTTTATAAAGCTGTCCAAAGACAATATATGGCAAAGAATGACTTATAATGGTGATATCATTTTTAAACATTTTCAATATATTTTATATTTTAAAACATTTATAACAGCAGTATATAAAAACCTTATTTCCAAGCATAATTGTGAAACAGAATGTATCTATTATTTTGTAGACACTAAAACTCCCTTTCAAACCAAAAACAGGTACACTAAGATAGTTTAGGTCTGTAAACTCCTTTTTATGGGGAAAAAGGACCCTATTAAGACAAAATATTCCTTCTTGTGCTCCTAAGAAATACTTCAATTTTGTGTCAGTGTCCCATGATTATGGCTTCAATTGCTTGTATGTTTTTCAGTGCTCCTAGAGTCAGAATATTTGAGAATTAGCAAAGTTGGCTCAGTAGAGGCATTCACGAAGTAACATGATACGATGAAATGTTGTACATTGATGCATTTACAATAAGCTAAGTAGTTGCTATAGTTTAAATGTTTGTGTCCCCTAAAATTTTTATGTTGAAATCCTAAACCCCAAGGTGATGGTGTTATTAGGAGGTGGGGCCTTTGGGAGGTGATTAGGTCATGAGAGTGGGGCCTCATGAATGAAATACTGGTTTTTCCCTTCCATCATATAAAGGCACAGTTAGAAAGCAGCTGACAACCTTCACCAGAAACTAAGTCTTGGTGGAACTTGATTTGGACTTCCCAGGCCCCAGAACTGTGAGCAGTAAGTTGCTGTCATTTATAAGCTACCCTGTTTATGTATTTTCAGACTGAGACAGTGGTCCTCTGATCTTAAACATGGATTGAACCAAATAACCCACAATGCATATGGGATAAACTTTAGAAATAATGAATTGAGCTTATGACACAATATGCTTACTCCAAGGATAAAAGCTGAAATTACTACTATAGTTTCTAAAATTGCACAGTGACAGACATTCTCACCAGCAACTTTTGGCGAAAAACCTTAAATATTTGTTTTTTAGATGGTTTGGTAAACAAGAAAAACCTCTGAGGAGTGCAGTTACTGAAAGTGAAGTTAAAAATTCAGCTATGTTATCATCCTTCCCTTGATTATTCCCTCAACTTCCTTGTTCCTTTCTTGCTCAATTTTACTCATCTCACAAAACTACAATCCTGGTTAAAAGCAACTTTCCCCTCCTTCTGCCTTTGAACACAGGGGAATACACATCAGGAGAATACACATCGTTTTGATTGCTCACTTTAAAGCTGTGACTATTAACCTCAAGTAGTCCTTAACACTCTCCAATAAAATTGCTGTATTTTAAAATTCCATTTACAAACTGTTTTCTGCACACCTTTTTTATACTCTTCTTTCTTAATAATTCCGACATTTTCTTAAATCAGACTTTCACAGTTGTCCTTGCTTCCACATTCACTGAGAGTTAAGAGCAATCTGAAGGGAATGTCCATAAGCTCCCACCACAAGTTTATCTTATCACCTATTCTTGTCCAAACTCCCTGCACCTCCCCATCTGCTATATGAACGAACAACCTCTGAGTGTAAGGTCAGTTTCTTCATTCGTGTACTAAATGCCCCCATATCTCCCCACTCAAGATTATTCCAACAATTCTTCTGTCTTTCCTGCATTATCACTGTTTAGCCCTTCACAAATTATTCCCATCAGCATAGAAAATAAATTATTTTTTTTACATATATTGACGATGGTAATCACTTCCCTATGTATATGTGTATCAAAATAAGTATATTACAGCATTATGTTTTATAACAAAAAATTAGAGCATTTATAGGATACAACAAAGAGACTCATTCATTTCAAAATAAGTATGCTAACTATATATCCAACTAACAGAAAACTAAGAATTAGTATTTAATATTAAAGATTGTAAAATCATTTTTAAAATATTTTGGAAACTAGAAAACACAATCATATCTAAAGAACACAGTCAACAGTTGTATGACTCAAATGGGTTTGGAAATCTGAAAAAATCTATATTGAAACTTCATGACTATCCTTTTCTCACTTTGTGATCTTAGAGAGGTTACTTTGTTTCTGAGACCATGTTTCCTTAGTTCTACATTAGGCTTGGTTAATATTTAGGATTGTTCTGGAGATTACGTGAGATAATTGTTTATGAAATCTGCTATTGTGACAGTGCCTGACACTTTTTAATTTTTTCCCCTCTGGACCAGCTTTCTGTTGGGATCTGGTCTCCAGCATTTTCTTTCTTTTCTTTTTTAAATATATTTATTTTACATTAGGTGCATAGTATATCTGGCATTTCTCCCCATGTTATCTCACCCTACCTTCCCCTCCCTCCCCATTCTCTGCTGTCTCTCCCCTATCCCCCCAACTGCCTCCAGTGTGTGATGTTCCTCTCCCTGAGTCCATGTGTTCTCCTTGTTCAGCACCCACTTAGAAGTGAGAACATATGGTGTTTGGCTTTCTGTTCTTGTGTCAGTTTGCTGAGAATGATGGTTTCCAGATTCATCTAAGTCCCTACAAAGGACACGAACTCATCGTTTTTTATGGCTGCATAGTGTTCCATGGTGTATATGTACCACATTTTCTTTGTCCAGTCTATCATTGATGGGCATGTGGGTTGGTTCCAGGTCTTTGCTATTGTACACAGGGCTGCAATGAACATACGTGTGCAAGGGTCTTTATAGTAGAATGATTTATAGTTCTTTGGGTATATACCCAGTACTGGGATTGCTGGGTCAAATGGAATTTCTATTTTCAGATCCTTGAGAAATCGCCACACTGTCTTCCACAATGGTTGAACTAATTTACACTCCCACCAACTGTCTAAGAGTGTTCCTATCTCTCCACACAGTCTCCAGCATCTGCTGTCTCCAGATTTTTTTAATGATCACCATTCTAACTGGCATGAGATAGTATCTCAGTGTGGTTTTGATTTGCATTTCCCTAATGACCAATGATGATGAGCATTTTTTCATATATTTGTTGGCCTCATATATATCTTCTTTTGAAAAGTGTCTGTTCATATCCTTCACCCACTTTTGAATGGGCTTGTTTTTTTCTTGTGTATCTGTTTTAATTCTTTGTACATTCTGGATATTAACCCTTTGTCAGATGAGTAGATCGCAAAAATTTTTTCCCATTCCCAACCAACAGTGAACTGTTGGTTGCCACTTCACTCTAATGATTGTTTCTTTTGTTGTACAGAAGCTGTGGAGTTTAATTAGATCCCATTTGTCTATCTTGCCTTTTGTTGCCATTGCTTTTGGTGTTTTAGTCATGACCTCCTTGCCTATGCCTATGTTCTGGATGGTTTTTGCATAGGTTTTCTCCTAGTGTTTTTACAGTGTTAGGTTTTATGTTTAAATCTTTGATCCATCTGGAGTTAATTTTAGTGTAAGGTGACAGGTAGGGGTCCAGTTTCTGCTTTCTGCACATTGCTAGCCAGTTTTCCCAACACCATTTATTAAACATGGGGTCCTTTCCCCATTGCTTGCTTTTGCCAGGTTTGTCAAAGATCAGATGGTTGTAGATGTGTGGAATTTCTTCTGGGGTCTCTGTTCTGTTCCATTGGTCTATATCTCTGTTTTGGTACCAGTACCAGGCTGTTTTAATTATTGTAGCCTTGTAGTATAGTTTGAAGTCTGGCAGTGTGATGCACCCGGCTTTGTTCTTTTTGATTAGAATTGTCTTGGCTATGTGGGGTCTTTTGTGATTCCATATGAAGTTTAAAGTGATTTTTCCAGTTCTGTGAAGAAGGTCAGTGGTAGCTTGATGGGGATAGCATTGAATCTACAGATTACTTTGGGCAGTATGGCCATTTTCACGATATTGATTATTCATAACCATGAGCATGGAATATTTCTCCATATGTTTGTGTCCTCTCTTATTTCATTGAGCAGTGGTTTGTAGTTCTTCCAGAAGAGGTCCTTTACATCCATTGTTAGTTGTATTCCTAGGTATTTTATTCTCTTTGTAGCAATTGTGAATGGGAGTTCACACTTGATTTGGCTCTCTTTAAGTCTGTTATTGGTATATAGGAATGCTTGTGATTTCTGCACATTGATTTTGTATCCTGAGACTTTGCTGAAGTTGCTTATCAGTTTGAGAAGATTTCGGGTTGAGACAATACAGTCTTCTAGATATACAATCATGTCATCTGCAAATAGAGACGGTTTGACTTTATCCTTTCCTAATTGAATACTTTATTTCTTTTCCTTGCCTGATTGCTCTGGCTAGAACTTCCAATACTATGTTGAATAGGAGTGGTGAGAGAGGGCATCCTTGTCTAGTGCCAGATTTCAAAGGGAATACTTCCAGCTTTTGCCCATTCAGTATGATATTGGCTGTAGGTTTTTCATATATAGCTTTTATCATTTTATGATACATTCTGTCAATACCTAGTTTATTGAGAGTTTTTAGCATGAAGGGCTGTTGAATTTTATCGAAGGCCTTCTCTGCATATATTGAGATAATCATGTGGTTTTTGTCTTTGGTTGGGTTTATGTGATGGATTACATTTCTGGATTTGCGTATGTTGAACCAGCCTTGCATCCCCGGGATGAAGCCTGCTTGGTCGTGATGAATAAGCTTCTTGATGTGCTGTTGCAATCTGTTTGCCAGTATTTTATTGAAGATTCTTGTGTCGATGTCCATCATGGATATTGGCCTGAAGTTTTCTTTTTTAGTTGAGTCTCTGACTGGTTTTGGTATCAGGATGATGTTGTCTCATAAAATGAGTTAGGGAGGATTCTCTCCTTTTGTATTGTTTGATAGTTTCAGAAGGAATGGAACCAGCTCCTCTTTGTACATCTGGTAGAGTTTGGCTGTGAACACACCTGGACTTTTTTTGATTGGTAGGCTATTGATTGCTGCCTCTACTTCAGCCCTTGTTATTGGTCTATTCAGGGTTTCAACTTTCTCCTGGTTTAGGCTTGGTAGAGTTCAAGTGTCTAGGAATTTATCCATTTCTTCCTGGTTTACTGGTTTATGTGAGCAGAGCTGTTTGTAGTAATCTCTGATGGTAGTTTGTATTTCTGTGGGATCAGTGGTGATATCCCTTTTATCGTTTTTTTTAATTGCATCTACTCAATTCTTTTCCCTTTTCTTTTTTATTAATCTGGCTAGCAGTCTATTTTGTTGATCTTTTCAAAAAACCGCTCCTGGATCTACTGATTTTTTGAAGGGTTTTTGTGTCTCTATCTCCTTTAGTTCTGCTCTGATTTTATTTCTTTTCTGCTAGTTTTTGGTCTTCAGCATTTTCTTAGTGAATATTTGGAAAACACAGTGCACCCAAATAAAACCAGTTTTTATGTCCTCTTATACCTGAGAATAGTGTGGCAGGTAAATAAGAAACGTGTTGGTTTGTGGCATTAATATTCATGTTCACATAAGTAGCAAAAGTTGTGATCATGCCAGTCAGCCAATCGGTCCCAGGGGCCTTGTCTTTCCCTCCCTGCTTCATGTGCATTCATTGAAAAACCCAAAGGCATCTCCTAGCAAACTGTTTAAAACTGCAGGTAATAAAATATGTCTTACCATGTTGACATAATTAGCCATCTCAAACACCCTCTTTCTGATCTCATCTTGATCCTCATTGTACTTTTTAAACTAAAAGAAAAATTAAGAAAGAATATGGACATTGATAAAAATTAATATACTTGAAAGGTTAAAAAGCAACTTCTCTTATGTTATTGATTTTAATTAAAGATTAGCTATTAAAGTTAATTAAAAGTTAGAATTAAATTGATTCCTATTCATCTAGCTACATTAAAGCAATTGGGGAGTGAATAAGATGTTTCTCTTCTGAAGTACTAGTTCAGTATAATGCTCTAAAGAATTATTCCAATTGTATTTTCACTTAAATTCTATGATTTTCTAAGCTGTGCAGATTTAGCAAAAGAATATCTTAGTAATTTAAGAGATACATATATGGACAGTATATGAATTAAGCACAATAAGTAAGGTCAGAGCTTTAGGGCCTGAGCTCAGAGTTAACTTACATTTCCTTACATGTGTGGATTCCACATTTAGAAAATCCAGTATATGAAAATGCACTGTTATATAAAACAGTGACTATCACCAAAGATTTGCCTTTTCAGAGGATTCCATTCACTGAGCTTTCATATTGACCAATATAAGCTTTTATATTGTATCCCTAATGAGAATAATTTCTAATTTACAAATGATTTAACAACTTAATAAAAGGCAAAATGACAGAAGAATTTAATTGGAAAGTAAGTTAGGTGCTATAAAGTCAATAAGAAAATAACATTATAAGGGCCAACAATTCAATTTATGCATATCATGTCAATTGCCCTGATATCTCCAAAAGGAAGAAATCATGTCAGCTTAATTACAAATGTCAAATTTCAAAGGTTTAGAAAAATCTGTAACCATATCTCATATTCGTGATTATTTAAATCTCATCCAGACATTTCATATTTCACATAATAAATATATGTAGATGGGAGTTTTGAAGTACAACATATTTATCTCATATACTTACCTCACCATTATCCAGGACCAAATAATATTCTATATATTTCTCATGTTCACGAACCTTCCCATCATTCAATTTCTGAAATATAAAGAGTACAATTACCAATACGACATCTTTTTCCACACACGTTCGTCTATTATTTGGCATGTGTAATTTTATAAGCTGCTGGTTGACACCTGTTTGATATCTGGAGTAAAGGCAGACAATATTAGCATTTTAACACTAATTCAACAGGCAAGATTACCGACAAGGCTCAGAATTTTGGAGTTGAAGGAGCACCACAATATTCGGGTCTGAGTCTTTCATTTTATCAAGAGGTCTAAATTATTATGTTACTAATAGGTGAGCTAGAAATAAAACCAAAGTCTGTCTATTGTTTTAAACAGTAGACTTCTTCACCATCCTGAAACAAAATAGAGAAATGTTGACTTCAGCATTTTTCTAGTGTTTTTAGTTTGTTTTTTGTTTTCTTTGGTAGCCTTTAATTCATGTCTTCATGTAGTATCTGCTCCTTTACCAATGGTGCAATGCAGAGACACCATCGTTTCTAGTCTACTTTGTTCTCTTCAGGCAGAGTTGAATCTCCTTTCCATGATTCTGGATACCATCATTCTCAGCAAACTGACAAAAGAACAGAAAATCACACACCACGTGTTCTCACTCATAGGTGGGTGTTGAACAATGAGAACACATGGACACAGGGAGGGGAGCATCACATATGGGGGTCTGTTGTGGGGAGGATAAGGGAGGGACAGTAGGGGGGTAGGGAGGTTGGGGAGGGATACCATGGGGAGAAATGCCAGATGTAGGTGACGGGGGGATGGAGGCAGCAAACCACATTGCCATGTGTGTACCTATGCAACAATCCTGCATGATCTGCACATGTACCCCAGAACTTAAAGTACAATTTTTTTAAAAATTGTCCCTCAAGTAGCTGTATTAATGAAAATGAGAAGTCAGCCAAGGAAAGATAAATTGGAGGACAATTCCAGCAGGGAGAAAATCGAGTAAATAGACTCTAAGGTGAAATGGTATTGACATATTTAAAGCACAGAAAAAAAATGCTAGTGTTTTTTATAACATAATGGAGAGGTCACCAAGAGATGGGAAGTAAAGAGTAGGAAGAGACAGGAGAGGCCAATGAGGCCACAATCCTATAGGGGTTTGTGACCCATGGTCAGTTGCATGGCTTTTATACTAAATGTAATGGGAAGACATTAGAGGGCTTTGGACAGAAAAGGGATGTGATATGATTTACAATAAAAACACTGTATCTATTGTGTGGAGTGTAGATTCTGTTGAACTGGGATGGGAAGGTGAGGCAGAGCCTGCTGCCATGATTATTATGAGATGGTACCTTGGGGTAGTCATAAAAGGAAGCAAAGGAAAAGATCTGAAATATGTTGGAGGCGTTTGCTGTTGGATACCATATAAGGAGGGATCAAGAAAAAAGGAATCAAGGATAGTTTCTACATTAGTACTTGAATAAATGATGAGTGGTTGTGTTAAATGAGATGGGGAGAATGAGATAAAAGTGGGTTTTGCTGACAGTTTAGAAATTGATAGTTCTTTTTGGGGCATACTTTAGGTTTGTGATATAAGATGTCTAAATGGCTATATTAAGTAGACAGTTAATTATAACAGTCTGGCCTTTAGGAGAGAGGCAGAGACTAGAGATATGCATCTGATGGCAATTAGTGCACCATTCCTATTTAAATAAGGCACAGGACAGGGTGAGATTACCTGGGAAGAATGTGTAAGTAAACCAAAGATCCGGGATTGAGCTATATGAGGTTCTCTAATACTTACCAGTCAATCAAAGCAAGATGACAGAAAGGAAATGAGAAGGAGTAGCACTCCTGAGGTAGAGGAAAGCCAAAGCAGTAAAATGTCCCCAAAGCAAGGCTCTTTCACATGGTTAACAAGGAATGGAGACGGAGGGATAAGAGGCCTGTACAAGCAAACCCAGGAGTTGATATTCTCAGCAACATATAGCTAGGAGTTCCACCAAGTTCTGGCCAGTCAAAGGTGGCCAACCGTTCAAACCGTGTTCAAATAAGGCAAATACCAAGCTGTAACCAGTGCAGCTGTTTCTGTACCTTAGTTCATTTTCTGTACATCATTTTTCTGTCCATAAACCCTCTCCAACCATAGAGCACTATGGAGTTGCTCCAAACCTCTTCCGGTTCTGAGGGCTGCCAGATTCTAAAACCATTCTTTGCTCAAATAAACTCTGTTAAATTTGTCTTAACAGTCCTTATATTGTACATTAGATCTTTCAATTGCTTTTTCCTGCACATTTGCTGCTTGGAATGCTTTGACCTATATCTCCCTATTTCCTGTCCTTTCCTAGACCCTGGTAACCACTGTTTTTATTCTCTACTTCTATATATTTGACACTCACCCCTACTTTTTAAAATTCCTATACATTTTGTTATTGTTTTCTTTGCTGTGCAGAAGCTTTTTAGTTTGATATAGTCTCTTTTTAAAAATTGTTTACTTTTGTAAATTTAGCTTTTAGGTATGATATCTAAGAAATCATTGTCAAGGTTAATGTCAAATGGCCTTTCCACTCTATTTTCTTCTAGAATTTTATGGATTTAGGTATTACATTTAGGTATCTTATTTATTTTTATTGGATTGTTATGGCATAAGAAAAGGGTTCCATTTCATTATTTTGCATGTGTAGACCCAGTTTTACCATGAGTCTATTTATTGAAGAGACTATCCTTTCCCCAGTGTGTCTTTTTGGTGACCTGGTCAAAAATTAATTGACCATACATGTTTGGATTTATTTCTGAGCTTCCTATTCTGTTCCACTGGTCAGGGTGTCTGCTTTTATGTCATCATCATATCATTGTGATTACTATATCTTTATAACTTTAAATCACATAATACTATGTCTACAACTTTTTTTCTCAGAATTTCTTTGGCTATTTGGGATATTTTGTGGTTCCATACAAATTTTAGTATTGCTTTTTTTCTTATTTCTGTAAATACTGTCATTGGGTTTTATAAGGATTGCATTGAACCTACATATTGCTTTAGGTAGTATGAACATTTTAACAGTATTTTTCTAATTCATGAGCATAGGATATTCATTTATTTGCATTTTCTTCAATTCCCTTCAACAGTATTTTATAGTCTATAGGCTATACTTTTCTAGGAATTCATTTATTTTCTCTAGGCTGTCAAATTTATTGACAAATAATTGTTCATAGTAGTCCTTTACTATGTAACTGTACTGTGTACTGGTCTTCATCTCCTTAGTAAAATGTATTCCTAAGTACTATTTGTGTTATGAATGGAAATATTTTCTTGATTACATTTTTGGCTAGGTTGTTATTTGTGTATAGAAATGTCACAGAATATGTACGTTGATTTTATATCCTGCAACTTTATTGAATTTATTAGAGTTAATGGTTTGTCAGTGGAGTCATTAGGGTTTTCTATATATAGAATCATTTCATCTTCAAATAGAGGTAAATTTACTTCTTCCTATCCAAGTTGAATGTTTTTTTTTTTTTTCCTTTTCTTTTCTTTATGTTCCTAATAGTACTTATGGTACATGTTTAATAGAAATGGTGAGAGTAGGCATCCTTGCCTGGGACCAGAGGAATGGCTTTCTATTTCTCCTTTCTGATTATGTTGTTATCAGTGGGTTTCTATAAATGGATTCTAATTTAAAAAATAAAGTTAAATAAGGAAAAAGAAGAGTGGGCAGGTAATCCTTATTGCTTGGCTTGAGACATATTTTAGAGTTTAACATCATTCTAGGTTCAAACAAAACAATGCAAAAGTGTTCTTAAATTTTCATTATTGTTTAATCATCAACAGCTGCATTGCACACTATCAACAGTTGTGTGGTTGCTGAAAGCCTGTGATTATGTGCATTTAGCCACAACTTTCTTATCAAAACTTGAATCCCAAATAAGCCAAGGACACAATTATATATTAAATGAATTTCAGAAGAAAGCCCACATATTTAAGTGAGCACTTACTTCCATGAAGAAAGAAGAATATAAGAATGACAAAAGCTCTGAAATGTAACTGGCATGTAAAAATGTTTCCTGATTATGAAATATCAACTTGGATATAGTTTTGGGAAAACATGGTCCTAGGTGCTATGGGATATTTACAAATATCTTAAGAGAACTTGTAGCATTGTATGTGAATAAAATAAGGTATATTTCACTGCTAAAAAAGAAAAATAAATAAATGACCTTTATGATGTTGAGGAACTTCTATGCCTAAACTCTCAAATTTCTAATCAAGAAAGCATGTTGAACTTTAATGCCTTTTCACCAATTGATAAGATCATGTGTGTTTTGTCTTTCAGTCTATTAATGTGATTGATATATTACATTGACAAATTTGTGTATGTTAACTCCATATGCCAAAGATAAATTCCATTTGATTATGATGTATAATCTTCTGGATGTATTGTTGAATTTGATTTACTAATGCTTTACTGAAAAATTTTTCCTCAATGTTTGTCAGAATTCTTGGCCTGTAGTTTTCTTTTCTTTGGTGTCTTTGCCTTAGCTTAGGTATAAAGGTGATAACTGGCTTATAGAAAGTGTCAAAAAGTACGCTTTCCAGCTCCTTTGTTTTTTTAATTTAGAAGTATTTGTAATAATTCTTTTTAGAAAGTTTGATTCAATTCAGCTCTAGAGTCATCTAGGCATAGGCTTCCCTTGTTGAAAGATTTTTAACTACTATTTCAATCTCCCTGTTATTGGTTTTTTCAGGCTTTCTACTATTTTCTGATTCAACCCTGACAGGTTATATTTTTCTAGGAATTCATCCATTTTCTCTAGGCTATCAAATTTATTGACAAATAATTGTTCATAGTAGTCCTTCAAGATTTTCTTTAATTTCTGAGGCATTTTTTGTAATAGCTCCACTTTCATTTCTGATTATATACATTTGAGTTTTCACTCTTTTCTCTTAGCCTAGCTAAGAGTTTGTCTATTTTGTTACTACTGGCATGGAATTTGTTCTTCCATCTTTTTACTTTCTGCCTATGCATGTCTTTCAAGCTTAAAAGTGTGTCTCTTGGAGGCAGCACATAGCTGGATCTTGTTTTCTTTTCATCCATTCAGCTACTCTTTATCTTTTGGTGGATAATTTAATCCATTTACATTCCTTGTAAGAACTTATGGGTAAGGATCTACTAATGCCGTTTTGTTTTATAGGGCTTTCTTTTTCTATAGGTTTATTTTTTCCTCCTTTGTTTATCTTTGTGATTTGGTGATTCTTCTGTAGTGCTGTATTTTTATTCTTTTCTGTCATTTATATCTTCTATAGATATGTTTTTCTTTGTATTTGCCATGAGGTTTACATAAAACAGAATTGTAATGGAGTATCTTATATTGATAACAACTTAAGTTCAGTCATGTATGAAAACTCCAGACTTTTATCCTACCCTCAACAATTTATACTTTTAATGTCACAATATAAATATTTTATATATTTCTTAACAAATTATTATGGTTATTTTTGATTCATTTTATTAAGTTTCATACCGGAGATACATGTGATCAACAGAGCACATAAAAGTATTGGCGTATTCTGGATTTGACTATATATTTCCATTTACCAGTGAACTTGCTGGTAGAATTTAAACCTACAGTAAATTAAACTGACCAGAAATTTTATTTTGGCCAATTCTGCCCAGTGCTTACAGAGTCTGAGAACATTTAAAAGAAATGATTAGATTTGAAATAAATCTTGGAAATAAAAATAATATCAACAAGGAAATAAAAGTAATGTCAACAAAAATATTTTAATACACTTTACAGTCTAAAACACAAAACTACATTCATTTTTCTCCTAGGACTTGAAGCAGAATTCCACACTTAAAATAATATTCTAAGTTCCTATAGGCAGATTCTATGTCTGTTTTGCTCATTTCTATCTTCCCAGCACCTGAGATGGAACTTTAAGAGAGATTTTTTGAATGAATTTATGAGAGCAGGATGTTTTATTTCAAAATAATAATAATCACTTCATAGCTTTTTGGCTAAAATTAAGAGCAAATTAATAATAATACTTTATATTTTTGTGGTTTATTGTAAGCTACATGGAATACTGTGACAGATGCCTGCTTCTAGAAGTCAGTTATATTTTACACTTATTTTTAACCTTTGTACATTGCTGATAATAATTGATAATAGTTAATTCCTAAGTACTTGTTAAATAAATCATTAACGTCTAGCAATATTTAAGGGTTAGTGTCTCTATAACTTACTAATTTCAACAATGACAATAGTTTCAGTAAATTGCACTGCTAATTCTGGAAAGCAGGGCAGAATACATGAGAACATTTCAAATAAAAACAAAATTACACATACTACTAGTCTGGTGGCAGGTAGGGCAATGTTCTGCTGAAAATCATGGGTCCACAGCACACCATCCATTCCACAGGTGCTGTTATAATTATTTTCATCAGGGTCATACTTGAAGAGTGCATGCTCCTGTTCATCCCGATTTATGGGGCTTAAAGGTTCAATAAAATATCTTTGATTCCCCTGATTGAAGTAGCCCCTGAAAAACAATCATTTTTTAAAGAGTTCTAGCTTCTTAACAAAATATTATCACATTAGGTTCATACAGATTTATAAGATCTAAAAGAAGACCTTTAAAATTCCTAGTCATTGTCAAAAACAATTTAAGCTTATGGCAATAAAATACAGTAAAAATTACAGCTGAAGATACCTTGGAGATTATCTAAAGTTTTTTCTACAAGAAAATAAGACATATTAGGGAGAAGTGACTGCTGCAATGTCATGCAGGCAACCATATCAGTTGACTAAAATGAATATTTCCTGACACTTGGTCCAGCATTCATCCAGTTTTAATACTATACTTGCTCTAAGGGTACACCTAAAATGAAAGAGACTTTAGAGTTTTATAGATAAGTTTTAAAATACTGACTTTATAACTTATTCATTGTGATTCATTGGGACAGTTCTTTAAACTCATAAGCCACATTTATTTGTCATGATACCTACCTAGTATGGTGATAGTAAAGGTTGAAAGTGAGAACATGTAAAGCACATACAAATCAATTTCTTCTCTATTTTATCTGGTAAAGCCTTGAACCAAGAGTAATTCAACCAATATTCACTGAGTACCCATTATTCATTAGGCATTAGACTAAGGATAGACAGTAAAAATAAAGTCATGATCTCTTTTCTTATGGAGCTTATGTTCAAATGAGGAAGATTGATGTGTATCAAATAATCACACAATACATAAAATTACAGAGTAAGTACTTACATATACTTAGAAAATTGGTGTGAAGAAAAAGTATAAGAGTATATAATCAATTAAATTAAGTGTACATAAAATTAGATAACGGCAAGAGTGGATGTAAGAAGATAAATTATGTGCTTTATTGCAATGGTCTGCATAAGGAATCATGGTAGATGGACTAGGATGTTGCAGAAGAGACAGAATGAACAATTTCAGAAAGTATTTAGAAGATAGAATCAATAAGACTTGGTGAGGGGTTGAAAATGCAGGGCTGAGAGGCAAGCAGACCTCAAGGAATTTACTTTCTGAATTGGGAAGTGATTATTTGATTATACCATCAAGACAGAGAACGTGGAAACAGTACCAGATTCAAGAGACAATCATTAGTTGGGTTTAGAGCACAGTGAGATTGAGATTTATTTAAGATATCCAACTGAAAATATGAAAAAGATTAGATAATCAAGTCTGAACATCAGAAGAACCATCTTACTGTGGACAGATACATGGGTGTATCATTAACAGACAGAAATGGATGTCATAGTCATGGATAAGACAATCTAGAGAGAGAGTTAAAAGTGAGGAGAGAGTCTGGGTGTGGTGTCTCATGCCTGTAATCCCAGCAGTTGGGAGGCAGAGTCAGACAGATCACTTGAGGTCAGGAGTTTGAGACCAACCTGGCCAACATGGTGAAACCCATGTCTATTAAGAATACAAAACTTAGCCAAACTTGGTGGCAAGCATTTATAATCCCAGCTACTCGGAAGGCTGAGGCAAGAGAATTACTTGAACCCAGGAGGCTGAGATTGCAGTGAGCTGAAATCGTACCATTATACTCCAGCCTGGGTGACAGAGACTCTGCCTAAAACAATAAATAAAGTGAGAAGAAAGAGAGATCAGCTCCCATTCCCTAAAGATTCTTAGTCCATAACTGGGACTCAAAACCCTGTATTTTTAAAATGAGCTAACAGAAATGTCTTTGAAAATAATTCAGATATGTAATTTACAAATTGCTATCAAGAGAAGTGGTGTTTCTTCAAACTTCAACATTTTATGGCCCTCAGGATGCATATTCAACTATAGGAAAATTAATGATATTTGGGATTCATCTGGTTTGTTAGATGCATACACAAATACCACAATCACAGGTGCATGCAAAACATTCCTGAAGTCTTACCTTAGACCCCTACATGTGCTGATGCTAGCGTCAGAAACCTTTTCATTAACAATATGTCCTTGATAATAACAATCATCCTAAAAGAAAAGGGGTTTTGTAAAGAGAAGTACATGTGAATTTTAGAACCACTGCTAAAGTTGCATTTGAAATCGTGAAACAGGATTTTTAAATGCTTCAAACCATATTTTGCTGAACAGCAGTAAACTCAGAGATGTTTATTAAATAAAAGCTTTCATATAAGTTATAATTGTTAATGTAAGTTAGTGATCCCAAAATGTTCACAAGGTACTAACCGTCAGTGTTGACTAGTATGAATGTTAATAATATTTAGAAGAAACACATTTGGATATGTAAGTTTTAAACATGACCCCTTAAAACACTGGGCATTCATTTTTTCTTTTTGCTGATTTCTCATTAACTTTTTCTAGCAAAGATCAACAAGAGTTTTTGCAAAGGATGGGTTATTCAGATTGGGTTTTTGTTTTTAATTTCCTGATTTATCTAAAGTGTTCCATCAGATTAACTGGATCAGCACATTTCTTGCCTCTATTTGGAGGAAGATGCCCTTCTTAACATTTTTTCACGTGGGTATTCCATGAAGGATCTTTGTAGTTTGGGATAGATGAGGTACTGGCCCATGTAAACTTGTGTTATTGCTGTAGAGGAGACTGCTCGAATGGCTTCTCATGGAAAATGTAGCTCAGAAAAAGAAGTAATGGTGCATGACCCCTCACATGGCTACACACTGTCATCTGCTTATTCTAAGAAAAGATGGGCCATGAACAGGAGTCAAGAGAAATTGCTTAAGAAAAATACTTCTGCAGTTGCCATTAAGGAAATAGTCTTGGTTTGAGAGACCAAAAGCCTAGAGAAATGACAAAATTGACTGAGAGAACCAGCAGTATGTAACTCTTCACTCTCAAGAAAATAACATGTTCCTTCTACCCACCCTCCTACAGGAGTCCTTAAAGGCTGCAAAAACTTACCAGAGTTGTCAGGAAATGGTTTTGTTCTTGTTAAAATATAAATAAAGAAAAGTGGAAGATCAATTATGTAATTACTACTGTTGAAAAAAGTACTAATGTTATAAATGCAGTTTCACTTCTACTTTTTGCCTGGCAAGGACACTGCCTTTAGGTCTGTGGGTAAAACCCCTATTAAAGAATTGAAGAGAATCTGTTATACCATAATTTGTGGGCTTGTGGTGATCTCCTTTCCAGTGGAATTATAATATGTTTCTGTGTAGCCTGGTGCAAGGAGATTCCTAGAGAAAAAAAAAAAAAACACAAAGATGTTGTGGTTACTTGTGGTGGTTGCAAAGTCCGGTGAACTTCTCTAGTCATTTGAGAGCAAAAGCTGATTAGTCCAGGTGTGTGTGACCCATAAGCAGTAACAGACTCAATACACTTTCCATATGCTGCCTTGCTCTTGCCGAGGATAATATCAAAGGTAAAGATACTTACTTGTTTTTTTTCAAATAAAGCACCGCAATTTTTCCATTAACTGTCATTTTATATTTTAATTCAGTTTCAAATTGTTCCTGCAAAAATGTACAAACACTTACTTATAATTAAAAACACACAAATATTCATTTGACTATTATATTTCTATCTCTGTTCTCATTAGCAAGCAATATCTGCTTTTTTAGCAGTATAATACCAAATGCTTTCCTCTTCTCCTTTTAACAGATCAAACAACCCTGGCAATTAAATACACAAACTATCTGAGAGCCTTATATCCACACCCATCCATTCATCCATCCACCCATCCATCTGTCCGTCCATCCATCCATCTGTCCGTCCATCCATCCATCCCTGCATTTTACAAGTATTGTTTGAGAGAATGCTGGTTCTTTGCAGGACACTGCTAGGTTTTGAAAACAACTCTAAGCAAAAAAACATTGTTACCTACTGTCAGAGAGTTTATAATCTTGTGAAAAGATAGAAAATGAGGTGAGTTACATGCATGATAATGGATGTATGTACTAGGATCTCTAACGTCTTAAGGACAGAAAAAGCTTTTTCGAGGAAGTAACATTTAAGATGAGACCAAGTTACCCAGGTGAAGTAAGGGAATTTATCTGAGTAGAAGGAATTGTATACAAAGAGGCCTAAAAACCTCCATTGCATTTCATGATTTTTGGTCTTGAGGTGTTCTCAAGACTAAGTAGCACATCAACTATGAGAAACATAACAGGGATATATACTGTAATGTGAGAAAGAGCCATCAAGAAGAAACCGCAGTCCCAGGTATTTAGGAGGAAGACCACGTAAAAGGAAAATTATTTTAAACTCAGACTTAGGTATATAAGAAGAGCTATTGAGGACTACATAGAATTATTTTAAAGAAGATGTTTTGGGGGACTTACTATTTGTGTACTCTGGGGGTTCTGAAGTATGCGTCAAAAGAAGTAAGATGCACCTTGATTTTGAGAGTACTCATTAGAAGGGAATGATTTTGGTTTTACTTAGTAAGACTAGCTGGCCACAGAAACCTATAGATACAAACTTCCTTTAAAAGTAATGTCATGGGTCATATTTAGAGTTTGGTCTGTAAATCAGGGTTATTGCTGTGGTTATACTCAATATCTAAAAACTTATTGGGAAGTGCCTGGTTATTGTCATTAAAGAGGTCTAAAGGTGGTAGACCGAAGGTGGTTGAGAAACACATATTACGAATGGAGTTCTGTTTCCACTGTTGTGTAGCACCTTAGGTCAAGCCTTTCTTCTCTCCCTTCCCTTCTGGCCAGGATGGTATCTGAACTTACAGAGGTACAATGGATGTTAGAGTCATCAGATCATGAGTACTGTGCTGGGATTTAGCTGTCTCCAGAGTCGGTTGTTATGGTCCATCCTTTCCTTAAAACTTGAGTTGTTGAGGTCTGCTCTGCTGTTAGTAATCCCAGACTATAAATATCCCCCATTGTGGGCCTATATGAGCAGAAGCTGATAGACTTGGCTTATTTCCATGGATGACTGGAAAGAGCCAGGGCATTGAACATAAAAGGGAGCATAGTCATAACCTTTTATTGTTCAGGTTTAAGAAAGGCTAGCTAGAATGAAGCTATGCCAAATATGGTCTTCTACCAGAAATGGCCTTCCACATTCTTCTTCCTGGCAGCAATGGATTTTTAGAAGATTTGGTTACTAAAACTTTAGTTGAAGGTTGTTTTAGAAAACAATAAATGTTTTTGGAGTAGAGTTTTAGTCCACACTGGCATAAAGATTATGGATGGAGGGAAAGATTGAGGAAGAAAGTCAGGGGCCTTTGTGAAAGAGAGTACACTGGGTAATGTATAACCATACTTTTAAAACAGAGCTCCCCGGCAGAGAGCAAGGTCTGAGGATAAGACATGTGTTCTATTTGTGTACTCTGTGGGTTCTGAAGTATGTGTCAAGAGAAGATGCACCTTGATTTGGAGGAGGAAGGAAGGAAATGATTTTGGTTTTACTTGTAAGGCTAGCTGGCCACAGAAACATAAAGATCCAAATTTCCTTTAAAAATAATGTCATGGGTCACATTTAGTTGGTATATTGGAAAAGCCACAGTCTTGGATGGTCCTGGGATGGAAACAAATCTGTAAAGTCATGGTCATGTCAATGGGCACACAATATCAAGGGCAGCTCTGGAAGACCTAGAGAGGCTCTTCATTCTAGCAGTTCAACAGTTGTTCAAAACTCAGTAAATCCATGAGCTCTAGAAACCCTGCTAAACCAGCTAGTGGGTTTGAAAGAGTTCCCAGTATGAGGGAGTAATTGTGCTGTAAGATATTTTCTTTTATGACATGGGCCAGTAGCAAGATGGTTTGGGCTTCTAAAAACGTACAATTTGGATGCTGAATTCTATGAAGAATAGTTACTGTCTTTAAAGTGTAAGCTCCTAGCATCAGGAACTTTCACTGAGTTTATGTTGAATATGTATCTATGCAGGTTTATGAGTTCTATGCTTGTGTCATATTCATTCATTTATCCATTAGTTTACTTATTCATTTGGTCATTTATTTAACACATACTTATTTAGTCCTTCTTATGTCATTCATATAAAATATAATTGTGAATATAATAATGAATAATATATTCAAAGTTCTACCTTGTTCTTTACCTCCAGCCCCTACAAATTTTTACACAGGGTTATTTCAATCTAGCTGAAATACTAAGCAATGTGTTATGTGTGATCAATGCAGAAAGATGGTGTCACACGCCTGGCATAGCTCACAGGTAAAGCCAGTGCCTCAGTTCTCTGGTGGTATAACAAAACAACACAGGGCACAGTTGTGTGATGATAACTGCAAAATTCCCCCATCTTTTCACTGTCTCGAGAAGCGAAGTACTTTATCTAGGATGAGACCTATGAAGCATGTATGGGATACAGAGATCCCCTTGATCATAAGGGTGGTCCACTGCACTTTGATTTCTAGATCATTTCAAATAGTATTTGCTAATCAAGTCTTTGCACAGGGAAGACCAATAGTCTCAACACAGAAACTGCAAAGATAACTCCCAAGAACTTGGCTTGTACCTGGAGGACAATGTTGTTATTAGTCATAAGGTGTGCCTGAGAGACTACTGAAGACTCTGTGCCAATGGAAATCATATACCTGTTGTGTGACAAAAAACGATGTCACTAGCTTCTTTAGTCTGTGTTTGTAAAACAAGTATGACATGGGAGAACCGAATAACTCCAAGAGGGCAGCATTGAGATACGAGGCATGCAGCAGCATAGGAGCCTTAGGTCTGTGAATAGGACAGAAGCTGGGATCATGGGGAGATAGCTGCAGTTTAGTTCTGGATGTTCACAGGGTGATATCAAAAACCACATGATAGGATTGCCAGATAAAATACAGGATACTAGTTAAATGTGAATCTCAGATAAACAGAATATTTCTGTGTATACATACAAACACAGAATACGTCTTTAAATACATATGCCCCATATGACAATTGGGACATACTAATCAAATAGTTATCGTTTATTTGAAATTTAAATTTAACTGGGCATCGTATATTTCTATTTGCTAAATGCGGCAACCCTGCATATGGAGGAGTTTAGAAGAAGTGAGAAAGAATGGAAACTAGAGATCAGTGACTAAAAAAAAAGAAATGCAAATGCACTAACTAGGAAAATTAGATTCATTCTGCTGTAATGCGTCTTTATAATATCAGAAATGTTGTGTGGGATATACTAATACAAAAAATTTTACTGTTTGTCTCAAAATCGAACTTAACTGGTATTCTGTATTTCATCCAGAATACAGATGAAATATAGCAGCCCTACCATGTGACTTTTGATATCTTCCTGTGCACAACCGGAACTAAGCCCTAGCAGAAGTTACTGCTAACAGTTTAGCCACATGGTTATTGTGAGGTAATTCAAAGGTATCACCTGACACCTAAGATATTAAAGAGTAAACATGGGAGGGTTTTATTTATTCCTGAGATGCTGTGGGACCATTCAGTGCTCATTCCATTATATTCATCAGGCCTGATAATATATTCTCTTCTACTCTCTACAACTAAAGGAAGCAGGAGAGGACTTGGAAATGTAACAGATGAAACTAAAAAAAATTAAAGTAAGATTTTCCAGTTAAACATTAAAAGGTTCTAATTACTTAGGTAATTATTTCAATTATCTGTAGTACTTACTTTAATCCTCTAATTTCCTTTAGAGATAAAATTAATGTGCTTTGCAAGTATTTATTTGGACCAACAGGTATTTATGAAACAAGTATTTTTGTTCCAGGACAAGGGTTGGCAGAGGAGTGTGAAGGAGGAGTAGGGACATGTCAAAGACATGTTAAAAAGAATACCTTTTAAAAATTTATCTGGACAGTTTCAAACCAGAAGTGAAGGTTACACTTACTATCATAGAAACACATGCATACACACGTACACTTGTGAATACACCATTGCTACAGACACAAAATCAACATTTCTTTTTAAAATCAGTAGCCAAACTTTATAATACTGACTGTGACTGGTACACAATTTCAGGATGGGGCATATTAGTATATATGTGAATATGGCAAGTTGACTTAACAAAGATTATAAGGGACTCTAAATATAGAGTCCCCTAAATGGGAGGGAATCTTAATGTAGACAGAATCTTTTAAGTAGTAAGAAATCCATTTAAAAAGGCATAGAAGGAAAAATAAGCATATTATTAAGAAAGGAAAAGAGAATACCAAGGTTGTCTAACAGTTAATGTTGAGAAGAATAATTTTAAAATAAAAGATTATTAACTAGGACATGAAGCCATAAAAATTGAAAATTAGTCATAAGAAATGGAATATGATGGGCTACATAGGGGAAGGCCATAGCATAATTTTTTTTTTTTGACATGGGATTTTGCTCTTGAAGACCATGTTGGAGTGCACTGGCACAATTTCAGTTCACTGCAACCTCTGCCTCCTGGGTTCAAAGGATTCTCCTGCCTCAGCCTTCTGAGTAGTTGGGATTACAGGTGCCTACCACCAATCTCTGGTAATTTTTTGTATTTTTAGTAAAGATGTGATTTCACAACATTGGCCAGGTTGATCTTGAACTCCTGACCTCAGGTGATCTACCCACACCGGCCTCCCAAAGTGCTGGGGTTACAGGCGTGAACCGATACACCCTGCCCATAGCATAATCTTGAATAAGGAGTTAAAATTAGTATCCTGCCTCACTTTTCATATACATTATCCCAAAATATTTATAGAAGTAGTATCATGATCATCTCCACTTTAAGGCAAGGAATTTAAAGTTTATGTTTTTCTACACTTATACAGAGAGAATTGACAAAATTTACAGGTCAACACAAACTAATCCTCTGAATTTAGATCCTATACACTTTCACTATGGATCAGGAAAATGTAAGGTTTATGTAGCCGTTTAACCTAGTAATGGACTAGATAAAGAATATAACTGCAGTAAATATAAAGCACATGATATCAACCTCATGCATCTACTCAATCATTGCAAAAATTAATACTGTTCATCTAGTAGGGGTCAATAGTCTATGGCTTTTGTTAATAAAAATATATTATTTGAAGCTAAAATTTATTTTTTACAGTTGTGAGGAAATCACTTTACAGATGTGATTAAAAACACTTCACCTGTGTTTAAATTTCCCTCAACATGTTCAGTGAAAAAAGGGTATTTGGCATGTGTGTGTGTGAGTGTATATGTGTAAATGTTGGCTTTTCTTGGAGGCGTTGTTTACTGTAAGTCAACAACACATAAAGAGTTAGATAATTAGTAAATTTCCAGAAGGAGGCAATTAATCATTGCTTTAGTAGCTAAAGGTTGATAACATAGAAAATGCAGGTAAACTTGTAAAAATTCAGCTGATGGCTAACCAGGAAAGTGAAGGACTTCTTCAAGGAGAATGCAAACCACTGCTTAAGGAAATCAGAGAGGACACAAACAAATGGAAAAAACATTCCATGCTCATGGATAGGAAGAATCAATACTGTGAAAATAGCCATACTGCCCACAGTAATTTAGAATCAATGCTATTCCCATTAAGCTACCATTGACATTCTTCATCGAATTAGAAAAAATTACTTTAAAATTTATGTGGAACAAAAAAGAGCCTATATAGCCAAGACAATCTCCAGCAAAAAGAACAAAGCTGGAGGCATTATAATACCAGACTTCAAAGCATACTACAAGGCTACAGTAACCAAAACAGTATGGTACTGTGCAAAACATGGTGCAAAACAGACACACAGACCAATGGAATAGAATAGAGAAGTCAGAAATAAGACCATACATCTATAATCCTCTGATCTTTGACAAACCTTACAAAAACAAGGAATAGGAAAAGGATTTCCTATTTAACAAATGGTGCTGAGAGAACTGGCTAGCCACATGCACAAAACTGAAACTGGACCCCTGTGTTATACCTTCTACAAAAATTAAGATAGATTAAAGACTTAAATGTAAACCCAAAAACTATAAAAATCCTAGAAGAAAATCTAGGCAATGCCATTCAGGACATAAGCACAGGCAAAGATTTCATGACAAAATCATCAAAAGCAATTGGAACAAAAGCAAAAAATGACAAATGGGATTGAATAAAACTAAAGATCTTCTGTGCTGCAAAAGAAACTATCATCAGGGTAAACAGACACCCTACAGAATGAGAGAAAAAGTTTTATGATCTATCCACCTGATGAAAGCTGAATATCCAGAATCTACAAGGAACTTAAATTTACAGGAAAAACAAACACACAACTAAACCTATTAAAAAGTGGGCAAAGGACATGAACAGACACTTCTCAAAAGAAAACATTCATGCAGCCAACAAACATGAAAAGAAGCTCAACATCACTGATTAGAGAAATGCAAATCAAAACCACAGTGAGATACCATCTCATGCCAGTCAGAATGGTGATTATTAAAAAGTCAAGAAACAGTAGATGCTGTCAAGCCTGTGGAGAAATAGGAAAAGTTTTACACTGTTAGTGGGAATGTAAATTAGTTCAACCATTGTGGAAGACAGTGTGGCAATTCCTCAAAGACCTACAACCAGAAATACCAGTTGACCTAGCAATCCCATTACTGGGGATATACCCAAAGGAAAGGAAATCATTCTATTACAAAGATATATGCATGCACATGTTTATTGTAGCACTATTCACAATAGCAGTGACATGGAATCAATCCACATCCTCATCAATGATAGACTGGATAAGAAAATGTGATACATATATGCCCCATGGAATACTATGCAACCGTAAAAAGGAACAGAATCATGTCCTTTGCAGGGATATGGATGGAGCTGGAAGCCACTATCCTCAGCAAACAAACACAGCAACAGAAAACCAAACACCACATGTTCTTATAATTCAGAGCTGAACAATGAGAACACATGGACACAGGGAGGGGGGCAACACACACTGAGGTGTGGTGGGGGGTGGGGTAAGGGAGAACATCAGGAAAAATAGGTAATGCATTCTGGGCTTAATATCTAGGTGATGGGTTGATAGATGTGGCAAACTACCATGGAACACGTTTATCTGTGTAACAAACCTGCACACCCTGTATGTGTATCACAGAACTTAAAATAGGATTTTTAAAAAGAAAAATTATTAGAAAAGAATTCAGCTGATGAGTCTCTTATTTTTACCAGTAAATGATGTAACAAAATGGTCAGTGTCTCAGAGTTACAGACTGACTTTTAGACTTTACTGTAACAGGACCTGAGCTACCTTAATGGGCAGAAAGCCTCTGTTGATTCCAAAAAGACTCTTCGGAGAACTTACGGATTCTCTCACACATGAAATCAATTATGCTGCTTGGATAGGCAGCCACAAATAACAGTAACACATAAGCTTGTCACCTGGAGTCAAACAAAGCTTTGAATCCTAGCTCTAAAACATATTGGCTGTGTGCTCTTAGGCAGTGTACTTAACTTTTCTGAGTCCCTACCTCTCCACTTAGAAATAAAATTCTGTAAAAATACACTTACATTTTATGGTTGTTGAAAGGACTAAACATGAAAATATATTAGTTATCCTTATACTTTTATTCCAACTTTTATTTTAGGTTCAGGGGATACCTGTGCCAGTTTGTTATATGGGTAAATCACATGTCACGGGAGTTTGGTGTACAGATTACTTTTTCACCCAGATAATAAGCATAATACATGACAGGAAAAAAGGTGTCTGACACTTTAAAGAAGCTGTTAGGAAGCATTTGAAGAAAGTCATATTGAAGCGTAATTCAATGTATATAGGTTCCATCTGAAGTTGTCGGAACCATTTGGTTGATAGCTATTTTGAGAAATGGGGTCAACTACAGGGTCTCTTATCATAAATTTGCTTTAGAAGAAATGCTGTGGGAAATGATGCCCAGTGAGGGAATATGTCCACCTAGTGTGTTAGATTTTGGAGTATTTCTGTAAACTATTTTTTATGTCTCATTCATCTGTATTTTCCTGGCTCCCAGAAGAAGACTTAAGAGTGCAGGTAATTATAACATTGTTGTTGAATCAATCATCATGTTTTAGCTTCCCTGTTAGAATTAATCAATGCTTATTGAGTGATTGCTGACTAATATGTTGTTTCATTTGTAGTAAGAAATATACAAACGTTAAAAGGAGCCTATTTAGAAAAGACAGATAAATTTCATATGAATGTGCATGTATACATTGCATTCACGTGCTACATTTTGTTTTATGTTTTAATTGTCATAGTTGTGTTAGATGATAGATAACGTTGAGATAAGAAGATAGATTAGATAGATAGGTAGGTAGGTGGCATCCAATTTTCTTTGTAAGTACATAGAATAAATTATCACAAAATGTTAAATTTACTCCGTTACCTTGGACATTTTCTTTCACTTCTCAGAAAATCGATTTGTAAAAGAGGCTAATAATATAACCTTGGGCTCTAGTGAAGATTTTTTAAAAGGTCAAAAACAAATACAAATATAATCATTGTTATTTAACTCCAAGGTGTAATCACTAAAAACATCACAAAGTCCACTTTGATACACACAGACAGGCTTACACACACAGAAACACAAACACACATATAAATCTCATCTCTATCTCTTATCTCACGTGTATATATATATAATACATCTCAAATCAAGACTCTTTGATAAATCAAAAGCTGTACCTGCTGCCCTGGTTCTTTGATGTCTCTTCTTTTGCGTAGTGGATGAAGTCTTGTAGGATAAACCACTTCATACTTCTTCAAGCCAGGAAGTTCTTTTATAGCACTTACTGAGAAGAAAAAGAAAAGGATTTGTCCAGGTAGAACTGAAGTAGGCTGGTCAGTAATGGCCATCGTTACTGCATTCCCAATGAACAATGCTACATACAGAAGCCTGAAATGATGAATGTCAGAGTTATTAATGTGCTAACACCAGAAGAAAGTGACATCAGAAACTTTCTCTTTCCTCTTAACATTTTACTTTAACCTATATCTGTATCTTGTGATGTTTCCCCATTAAAAGTTTACAAGTGTCTGTTTAGAGAAAGCATTTCTTTTGGATTTTTCCACTTCTCCTTATCTTTGATCCCTGTGGTTCAGGGACATAGCAGCAGCAGCACAAGGCAAAAAGAAATTAAGACAGAATACAACGTAATCCTCTGAGAAGCTAATCAGTCCCAGAAAAATTGAGTTGAAGCACTGGAAACCATACAATGTTAGAAAAATAAAATAACTAATGTACACAATTTTTTATTTTATTTTTCTTGGATTTGAAAACAGCAATGTTCTATACTAATGAAAACAACTATGTCACAGTAAGAAAAGGCTCCAATACTAGGTTTATAGAATGTGGTGGCATAGCAATACAGATAAACCTTCATTTTACATACAAACATTTTAAATGAAAATTAGAGAAGCAGATAAACAGAATCACAGGCATGGAAGGACTTTTTGAGCCTGCAGTCTCATTGAAAGAGAACTAAAAAGTGATTTGATCCAACCTATCTGCATCTTAAATTCTCCTCTCCATGTTGTTTTTAGAAGTCATTTTGTTTAATTTTATTTTGTTTTGAGACAAGGTCTCACTCTGCCACCAAGCTGGAATGCAGTGGCGCACAGACGGCTCACTGCAGCCTCAACCTCCTGGGCTCAAGCCATCCTTCCACCTCAGCCTCCAGAGTAGCTGGGACTACAGGTATGCACCACCAGGCCTGGCTATTTTTTTCTTCCTATTAGAGAAGAGGTCTTGCTGTGTTGGCCAGGCTGGTCTCAAACTCCCAGGCTTTAGCAATCCTCCTGGCTCAGCCTCCCAAAGTGCTGGAATGACAGGCATGAGCCACTGCACCTGGCCTGGAAGTCATTTTAGAGAAAGTTTTCAATTTTCTCAAACCTAACTTTAGATTTTCTATTTTCTTTTTGATTTGCCCATGCGGGCTCGTCTCTGCTGTGTATATAGTTAATAGACCTGCTTCTTAGATGCTGAAGGTGGGTGCAGGCTTAACCAGAGTGTAGACTGCAATAGCAGAATGGGGCCTAACTCAACAACTTCCTAAGACTGGAAGTGGAAATGTTTGATTCTCTTCTCTGGGCAAGGACTAGGAGGGTCTCTAAACATAATCCTAGCTCATTAAAGTACTAAAATCTAAGTTGTATGGTAAGATATATTTATGTTACTTTGGTTGATCTTTTAACAAACGCAACTGAGGCACTTAATAAGTATTATTTATTGCTTACCTAGGAGGACTGTACATTTATTCCAGTCATATCCCACAGAGCAAAACTCATTTTTAAATTTTTTTTTAAGAAACTAAAGCAGAAACTTTCAAAAAGTCTTAGTGTTGTTGATTTTTTAAATCATTTGAGCATGACTTAAATTCATTGGACTACTTGTGTCATTTACATTTAACTTTGAAGAATAGAAAAAGTGTTTAAACTGGCTAAGAACGCTTTGAGTCACAAATAGGATGTTAAAATCATGAAAAATCTTTTCTTTCAGTGGCTTAAGAGTTACTCTAAAAAAAATTCAAAATTACTTAAAGCCATGGCACTGACACTAGAATACCTTATTTTTTTATTTGGTTTGGGTGTTTAAATCATTTAAAAAAGGAGGCTGATTAAATCGTTTCTCAAGCTAGTTCAAGTGTTTTATGATTATGCAAATAAATGCAGAATTCCCTATAACATCTTTGAAGAGTCAGTGATCATTAATTAGGAAAGATAAATTCTGATCCATTGTGATAAAATAAGCCTCATTACATTGTCACACTTCAAGAACAACATCACAAGGTTCTTCAGTTCCTCATTTCTTGTTCTCACAGAGGTAATCACTAGGTGTCTTTTATTTCTATTAAATTAACTTTTGGTAAAGGAAAACAATAACATCAGTTATAAAACTTTTTTGTAACAAGTTCAAAAACCTAATGAAATATTAAATCAATCATTCTTTTTCTGAGTTAAAATGTTCATAATTATTGTAATTATTTGGCAATAATAAGATGCCAAAAGGTAAGAAAATTACTTCTGCCAGAAATTAACTGATGATATTGACACAATCCCATGCTGCCTCCTTAATTCAGGGACACAGGACAAGCATACAATATGGCACCAACATGCTGCCTGGTTTATTACAGTAGTTAATCAATGCAATTAGTCTTGTTAAAACAGAGTTCACGAAGACAAATTTCACCAATGCTGCAGCAAACATAAATCTTTAAAAATGCTATATAAGGACAAACATGATTCTAACAGGAAATACTAGTCCAAGCTGCCTTCATGGAATAAAATAATAGCTACATTCCTGATTCTTTGTATAGAAGCAGAAAATGAGGTGAGTTTCCTTCTGAACACCATTCAGAAATGGTGAGAAGAAAAACAGGCCAATCTACACAACACAAATGTTCTCTCATATGCACACTGACCTCTGTGCTTCTAGTTAGTATCTGAATTCTAATGTTTCATGAAATCAAAAATTACAATCTGGCTCTTAAATATGGGCTCAAAATATGTAAGTTAGCTATGAAATTTATTTCCAACTTTCCAGCGGCTGAACACTTCCAAATGGAAACCAAAAACAAAGCAAAACAAAACAATAGCAACAAAAAACACATTTCTTTTCAATGTCTTTGGCAACCTCTCAGTCTCTTCAGTTTGAAGTGAATGGATTTCCAGCTCTTCCCAAACTCTTGCAGCACCATGTGTTCTCTAAAGAAACCAAATAGAACTTCTCATAAAGGCTTTTATTTTCTGGAAACCGAGAAGTCCCTGAAATAATCGGATCTGGAATACAACAAATTACACAGCCATCATGGGGATGTAACAGACCTAAATATTGTTTAGCTCACCCATCTTCAAGTTTAATGGAGATGGTGCAGCCTCATCCCCACTGAATATAAGGTTAATTATCTTGAAGCCTGAGGAACAAAACACAACTAACTGCCATCCAGGGATTACACAAATCCCAGGTATAACACAATACGTTTCTCCTAATTCATTTTAATACTTCCCACAGAACTCACATGCTGGATTAGTTTTTACTAGCAAAACCAGATCAGGAAAAAGAAAACTGTTATTTTGGTTTAGATTGGATAATTATTTTTGACTGGTTTGAGTTTTAGACAATTCAAAGCTCATTAACATTAATATGATAGACATTAGTCTGGATTGCTACGTTATTTGTTCATGTGTTTGGGGTCATTTTGGAAATGGGAATATTAGTATCTAATATTGACATTTTCATTTTTGTTCAAATGTGTTTGAAACTGTTGAAAAGAATGTCTTCTTTCCAAATTGAACATATCACATTAAACCCTGAATTAGGGTTTATACAAGGATATTAACTTATATTCTGGGATTCCTTGCATCTCCTCAAACCTTCTTGTGGTTTTAGTGTTCATACATTAAAATTGAGTACAAACAAAAGTAAAACAATGCATCTTAATTAGGTCTATTATTTTGACTATTTAAATTGTATATTTTCATTTCAGTCTTCTCACCTTATAGAGGCAAGAACTGATAGTTTGCATAAAATAGTTTCAAAAAATACCGTACCCCCTGGGTATTCTGCTGTAATATAGTAAGGACCTTTCTCCTTTATTGGTGTATTCATTTACATCTTCACCTCACAAACACCTGTCACATGCTTTTAAATATTTGTTTTTCCTTTTCATAGGATGAAATCCCATAAGTCATTTTTTTCTCAGGGGTTTGTGAGGTTCACAGCAAACAACTGGCCATATTTTACATCTGATTTTTTTTTTATTTCAACCATCTGGGAACTGGGCAGAAGTCATGCCCAGAGGGGCACATATGTATCGTTTCAATGATGGGGGCAGAGTACAAAGAGCAAGAGTTGGGAAATGAAAACTATTTTACTTCTTAGGTTCTGACTGAAAAGGCAACCCAAATGGGGATCATACCAGGGATAGCTGTGTGGCAAAAAGACACCCTTAATAATACAAGCTAGAAGTTAAAGGAGGGGTGATGTCACACTTTTAGGCATGAAGTCAGAAGAAGCTGCGTCTCTTGGTGCCCTGTTGTGCATGCACATTTGGTGCAGAATCAGTTGGTGTGTCCAATTACATGCAAGGGCTGTAATGTGCATGGGCTCCATTGTTAGTTATGTGACTCAGTTAGTGGATCCAGCTTGATCTTTTTGCTCTTCATAAAGCTAGTGCCCAAGCAGTTCTTGTATTTCTCCCAAGAGGGGGTTCCAGAAAAGCTGTTGGTGATACCATTTTTGGAGAATGGAGAGAAAAAAGATTTCTATTAAGTTTGACTCTAAAAGGAATTTCAAGTCAATTTTAAATGGCTGGCATCAGTTTTATATACTTTTTAAATATTTCAGGCTCATTTTACCAAAAGACAGCTGGTATAATGTAATACCAGAAAAAATAGGTATCAAGGCAAAAGGCGTTAGAGATGAAGAGGATCACCGCACAGTGGTAAAAGGTTCAGTTCAGATATAGGTATATATTATAGAAAGAAAAATATATAGAAACAAGGAAAATAATCAAATATTTGCAGATATTAGGTTAGGTGAAATTTGTATAAGTCTTGAAAACAAATTAGGAGCAAGTCAGAAGCAGGAAAATCATTTTTAGCAACCAAGTACTAAGCAGGTGAGTGGAGGAGGAACAGCTTTTCCTCCCGAAGCCTATACCTGTAGTTGATAATCTGTTCCAATTCCCAGATCTCGGCAAACATTCTAAGACCCAAAAACAGGTTTACTAGGGAAAGATTCGAAGCACTGCAGCTCATGGGCTGACTTAAATAAGCTCTGGAAATAGAAACAAGCTGAAGAATTATGTTACCCAATCTAATTTGACCAAAATATAATTAGAGAATTTACCAGAAATTAAAAGATATGCTAGACATAATTCATTGTTAGGAAATAGTATTTTTCTCCTTTCAAATTTTTTAATGTTTGATATAAGCAGCAAAATAGAAGTAAGTTATCAATTTAAGCTTAACAGCAACATTGTTTTGTTAAGTAATATCACAATACCTCATAAATAAAAAAATGTTTATTTCCATTTAGTCACATTTATTACTAATATAAAATGAGTACATAAAAATATATGCACTAATACAGAGCCAAACTAGCCCCCATAATAATAGCAGATATTTTCCTAAGCCTTCTACACAGCAATAGCCAAATCTGCCACATCTTTTCATTCTGAAAATAACAAGCTAGTTCTGATGAATTCCACTTTTGCAGTCAAAATCATATTCATGATTTAAATTATGCTGTATGAAATTGTCCCTTTTATTTCCATATATTCTTGGATAAGAACTGGTTCAAGACCCCTTGTTGCTTCTTCTTAACGCTTTCTTTATATCACTCACACCCTCCAAACAACAGGTTAAAACCAGCCCAACTGGTTAGTAAAATTGAGAAAAAAGAAAAAAGTCAAAATATTTTATACAATAAAACTATGAGGAGATGATGAAAAACTTCACTAATGCATTCAACAGAACCTGAAAAAGAGCTAAACACATACCTAGAACAGGAGAGAGGAAGAAACTGACTGTCAGGAGACCTTGCAACATGCTGGGTGATTCCAGGAGCAGTGTCTGTTCTTGCTCAGATGGGTGCTGCTAGGTCTGTCCCTGCCTCCTCTCCAGTGAGACTGAACGAAACTCCCTGGTTCCTTCTGGTCTCTGATTCAGGAAGTGTTTACTAAAGGTGTTGCACAACCTCGAAGCTGTGGTCCTGCAACAATGGCCTAGCAGGCGGAAGTCCTGGCCGCCTCCTGGCTCTAAGATTCTTTGAGCTAAACTATTGTTTCGGTCTCCTTCTCCATACTCCCCACTCCAAAGTAGTATATTTCTTACATGTTACTATAGCCAAATAAGCTAGAAGAAAATAGGCAACTGCATTAATGAGTCCTGAAAAATATGCCAGGCATTTATCATTTTTACATTATAGATATTTAGATACTATATATACATATGTTTAATTTTTTATAAATATAGTTGTTGGAAAAAAGTTATTAATGTTATTTTCCCCCCACATACATAATGTGGCTCTATAAAGCAATTTCTAATTCAACCTAATTACTATATAACATTCTGTTTTCAATTATTTTGTGTTCTTTTTTCACACAAGGGTGCTCTCAGGAAGCTTTATCCTGAAATAAAAATGTCTGACAGCATAAGCACAAGACTTCTTAGATCCCTGGGGGTATTTGTATCATAACTGACAATTGGGAGTGTGGAAAAAGGATGCAAGACCCAAAGGATAAAATTTTTGGATCTGTTACTGGTGGTAGAAAGGCTAAATTGGGCATGTCCAAAAATCATACTTATAACTAATAAAATAATATCAATTCAGCTTCTTATTATGTTTTGAGTACTGATATAGTTTGGTTGTGTCCCTACCAGAATCTCATCTTGAATTACAGCTCCCATAATCCCCATGGGTTGTGGGGGAGACGAAGTGGGAGGTAATTGAATCAAGGGGCCGGGCTTTTCCCATGCTATTCTGTAGATGGTGAATAAGTCTCACAAGATCCAATGATTTTATAAAGAGCAGTTCCCTTGCACATGCTCCTTTTGCCTGCCACCATGTAAGATGTCCCTTTGCTCCTTCACCTTCCATCATGATTGTGAGACCACCCCAGCCATATGAAACTGTGAGTCCATGAAACTTCTCTTTCTTTATAAGTTAACCAGTCTTGGGTATTTCTTCATAACCTTATGAAAATGGACTAGTACAGGTACTCTCCTAAATCTGTTCTTGTTATTTTACACTCCTTATGATACTCGTGTATTACACATTTACAGTCATTTTGTAGGTAAAAATTTGGGGTTCAAAAGGCAAAGGGATTCAAAAGATTAAGATTCAATTGTTCTTATTGTATAGATTAATAAGATTAAGCAGAAAAAATCACCTATCCAGTAATTGGTAGAAGTAGAATCTGAACTAGGTGTTGTCTTGGCTCTTAGCCATATAGTCTAATGCTTTCTTGCGGCTTAGCTAACTTGTAATCCCAGTCTTATTTCTATTGATAAGATCCTATTGAATAAAAGTAACTTTGGAATTCTTAAGGAATAGAAATAACTTTGGGGACCAGTTATTACCACAAAACCTAGTCCTAGTCCACAAAAATCATGCATCATTTTACAGATTTTGAAGCACATTCTCATATTAGAGGGATTGCAGTGATGATTGATGTTTCCAAATGATCATAAAGTCAACAACTAACAACCACAAGTAAATTTGAGTTATTGAGCATTTTAACCATCAGAATTGCAATTCACAGATTTCTTGCCTCTTCAACCCAAGTTCCATTGCATTGTCTCTTCCAGGGAACAGAAAAAATACTGTAACTTTTTAATTATTACATGTTTTTTTCCTCCCTTGATTCAATGTCGTTCCACTTATAGTGATTATGTGTCAGGCACTGAGATTGCAGTTGAAAAAACACAGTCATGGCCAGTGTGGTAGCTCAAGCCTGTAATCCCAACATTTTGGGAGGCTGAGGTGGACAGATCACCTAAGGTCATAGTTTGAGACAAGCCCTGGCCAACATGATGAAACCCCATCTCTACTAAAAATACAAAAATTAGCCAGGCATTGCGGTGCGTGCCTGTAATCTCAGTTATTCAGGAGGCTGAGGTAGGAGACTCGTTTGATTGCTTAATACCAGGAGGCAGAAGCTGCAACAAGCTGAGATTGCACCACCACACTTCAGACTGGGCAACAGAGCAAGACACCATCTCAAACAAACAAAAATCAGAATCACTTTCTTTGAGATGTTCACAATCGGGTGAGAAAGGTAAGTTCAATCACCATAAAATTGTATAGAGTAGGTACTACCTCTAAATTATCACAATACATTGTGTTTCATGTTTCAGTGTATTTGTCAATAGCAGTCAGAGATCTACACCAAGCAGGGCAGGGAGTGCATCCTGGAGGCAGGAGTTCTGGGCAAAGGACTCCTTATTCCATTAATGGTGCTAGGATAGCTGGCTAGCCATATGCAGAAAAATAAAACTGGATCCCTACCTTACACTGTATACAAAAATTAACTCAAGATGGATTTAATATTTAAGTGTAAGTCCTCAAACTATGACAATCCTAGAAAAAAAAAAAGAAAAAAAAAAGGAAATTACATTCTGGACATTGGCCCTGGGAAGGAATTTATGATTAAGTCCTCAAAAGCAATTGCAACAAAAACAAAAATGGACAAGTGGGGCCTAGTTAAAGAGCATCTGTATGGCAAAAAACTATCATCACAACCTACAGAATGGGAGAAAATATGGGCAAATACACACCTGACAAAAATCTAATATCTAGAATCTATAAGGAAATTAAACAATTGAACAGCAAGAAACAACCCCATTAAAAAATGGGCAAAAGGCCAGGTACAGTGGCTCACACCTACAATCCTAGCACTCTGGGAGGCCAAGGCATGCAGATCACCTGAAGTCAGGAATTCAAGACCAGTCTGGTCAACATGGTGAAACCCTGCCTCTACTAAAAATACAAAAGTTACCCAGGTGTGGTGGCAGGCACCTGTAGTCCCAGCTATTTGGGAGCCTGTGGCAGAAGAATATCTGGAACCTGGGAGGAAGAGGTTACAATGAACCAAGACTGCGCTACCACACTCCAGTCTGGGTGACAGAGCAAAGACTCTGTCCCCCTCCCCCAAAAAATGGGCACAAGAAATGAACAGACACTTCTTAAGACATACAAGCAACTGACAAGCATGTGAAAAAGTGCCAAACAAAACTAATTATCAGATAAATGCAAATCAAAACAACAGTGAGCTCCATCTCACACCTGTCACGGTGGTGATTATTAGAAAGTCAAAAAACAACAAATGCTGGTGAGATTGCAGAGAAAAGGAAACACTCAAACAATGTTGGTAGGAATGTAAATTAGTTAAGACACTCTGGAAAGCAGTTTGGAGATTTCTCAAAATAAAATGGAACTGTCGTTTAACCCAACAATCCCATTGCTGTATATATAGCCAAAAGAAAACAAATTATTTTACCAAAAAAACACATGCACCCGTGTGGTCACTATAGTACTATACACAAGCCCAATGCATGGAATCAATCTAGGTGTCTGTCAATGATGGAATGGATAAATAAAATGTGGTACATATATACTGTGAAACACTACACAGCTATAACAAAGAATTAAATAATATTCTTTGAAGGAACATGGATCAGCTAGAGGTCATTATCCTAAGCAAATTCATGCAGAAACAGAAAACCAAATACTGCATGTTCTCATGTACACATATAAACTAAATGTTGGGTACTCATGGACATAAAGATGACATCAGTAGACACTGGAGACTACTGGATAAGGGAGGGAAGAGAGGGGAAAGGGCTGAAAAACTAGCTATTGAATACTATGCTTAGTACCTGGGTGGCAAGATTATTTGTGCCACAAACCTCAGAGGTACAAATAATCATGCAATATATCCAGATGGATATGTACCTCCCTGAATGTAAAACTTGGAAAAAAAATAATTATAAGTAAAGATGATATGTTGTAGCACATTAGTTTACAGCTGGTAGTGTTTGGTTTTGTTGGAGCAAAGAATGTCTGGGAGAATGGGAAGATATCTTGCAAGTATAAAAGTTCATGCTTGACTTGAACCCTGTGGTGAATGGGCACCACTGATGGGATCTGAAGAGAAGCGGTATAACTTTCCTGCTTGTCTCTTTAGGAGAAGAGTGCATTGGAAATGGTGAATGATGACAGTCTGCAGGCTGATGCATGTGGCATTTTAAATTAGCAATCGTTCTTCGGTTCTGTTCAATTCTTTTGTAATCGTGACATGCCTTTGGTCACAGATTCTTCCAGTAATCATTCTCATAAGTTTTTATCATTCTTCATAGCCCAGAGTTATCTTTATAATGCCCTTTACTGTCAAAGAATTTATACCAGTCTCGAAACGAATTTTATTTTCTGCTTTCCTGGTTATTTCCTCAAAGATGCATCAAGCGAGCATAAAAGTTGAATTTGGACAATCAGTTTAACTTTACCCTTTTTTCCTTTGTATTAACTGCAGCAGTATCGTTTATATCTTTAATTGTCATAACTTGTCAAACTTTTTGCCAGAATATAAAACATAAATGGCAGAGAGAAGACCTACAGAGTGCAAAAACATATATTTCACCATATGATACACTCAGAGGGGTACAGTAAAATGGGAAAAAGCAGAAGCTAGCACTCAAAACCTGTGCTAAACATATTTTAGCAATGTTCTCTCTACATAATAAATTACAGGAATAATGCATGCATATGCACATATCATTACTATTGTCACACACACGTGTGCGTGCACACACACAGAGTCATGGATCACTTAATGGAATACAGTCTGAGAAATGTGTCATTAGGCAATTTTGTTGGTTTGTGTTATAGCATATTTACACAAACCTACAGTAGACTACTACACAACTAGGCTGTATGGTATAGCCTCTTGCTCGTAGGCTACAAACCTGTGTAGCATGTTACCATACTGTGTACTGTAGGCAGTTGTAATGCAATGGTAAGTATTGTGTAACTAAACCTATCTAAATGCAGAAATGATACATAATATTATAATCTTATAGGACCACATCATACATGCAATCCAACAATGACTGAAATGTCCTTTATGTGATACGTAACTGTATGTAGGTACACACATTAATA